CCCAATTTATATCATGCATTTATATCAACTTGGGCCTTCAGAGTGTCCTGAAGTATCTTGGCACCTGGCACCAAAAAGCTTTTTCTTAGACCAACTTCTTCACCCACTGCACAGTTTTTTATGTCTCCTGAACATTTTCATTTTTTCAAGTTGGTGTGTTTTCATGCTCACTGATTCATTGATCTTAATGGGTGCATCACTGCTGTTGTTGGTTATTTTTTAGTAAAGATTATTTTCTTTTTGCAGGTTACTGACATGATGGTAGCAAACAGTTGGAATCTCATAATCACTGTCAAGCCTGCCAACCAGCGAATCACCTGTGCCTCAATTGCCAGTAGTTCTTCCTCTAGTTAACAAGAAATGATGCACAGTTCTTAGAATTCCACTCTTTCATTTCGTCATTTAATTCCAACCGTCCATTTTTTAAACATTTTTTAATTGTAGTTCTAATTCAATTGATATAAGCGGTGACTATACAATAATATAGGGAAATAATTTTGCATAGAATTTTCTGCTCGGAAATGAGATCGAATACCACTTTACATGGTCTGTGTATGTGAAGTTGATTAGAATCTCATTATCTTTTACTGTTTTACCAAACCTTACTGCATCATGTGATATTTTTAGGCATGAGTACAATGGAATTCAGAGCCTGCTTTTACTAATCCTCATTATTTTATAGAAATGAGTGATTTGTTTTTTTAATTAAAAAATTGACTTGAGGAAGGAGTATTAAAACATATCCTAATTTTTATCTTTAAGCAGTAAGTTTTTAGTAATTCTTCCCAAATTTTAGTCATTCGAAGTTTATATAAAATGTTTTCATTCTTCAACAGTGATTTTTAGCTACCTTTTACTATAATTTTAAGTATACAGGCCTTGATAAGAGTCAATTTAGTTGCTTTGAGCAAACACAACATGCTTCTTCAAAGGCTGTTTATACCAGCGAAATTTCTAACCTGATCCATTATGTGCAAATAAAAGAAGAAACAAATAAATAAAAATAAAAGCAGACAAAAACAAATACTCATATAATAAAACTAATGGAAGAAAAAAACTTTTTGATCCAGATTGTTTGAATTAGGAAAAGAGATCAAATCCTCTTCAATTTTTTATGCATGTATAAAAATGACTGATCCTCTGGAGTCAAGAGAAATGATTTTATTCACTTAATTTTTCAGACGTGAATCCTTTTAAGGTAAATCATATTCAACCTCTCAGAACTTTATTTTAAGATCTATAACATGACCTTAGATGATCATAATTTTGTTTCTAATTAGGATCAAATTTAACACAAAATTCCTTAGAAGTATAGTTCGTTGTTTGATCTTTTTAAGGAGCCTTGCTGCATAGATATTAAATTATGAATTTGAACTTTTAATCATGAGAGTTAGCAATAAAATCAGAGTAAAAGTATCAAACCATAACTTGTAATCTCTTTATAATTACTTTTAATTCTTCCTTGAAGGAAAAAAAATGAGTAAGTAGGATTTACTCCTTTCTGTTGAATTTGTTTTTATCAATCCATGAAATTTAAATACGTTTTATGATTGACCTTTACTGTAGGGGGGGGGGGGGGGGGGTGTGGAGAAAACCAATGGGAAAAAATAAAACAAATTTTACAACCTAAGCCATAGTATGAATGAATTTTTGTATTTGAAGTTTCAGCTATTCTCAGTGAAGCTAGTAGTGAATAACCACTGATATTACCTATCCATTGCCCTTTCTATTTCAAACAGGAGAGTAAAAAATACTGTATCAGAGTAGTATGATTATGTTTTAGGATCAAGATCTAATTCTCATGAAATATCATTGTCGGTAATATGATTAACTTTTCTCATATCTGACTTTTTTGCACTTTTTCTAAGAACCTGTTTTAATTTTTGATGTCAGATAATTTTAATCGTTGAATGTGTTCATGTTCCATTATTTTATTTAGTTTTAGTAAAAGCTACAATGATTTGAATCAATTGATGTATTGAACAAGAAGAGGCATATCAGATTTGTGTGTCTTGAATTAGATTACTGCCTTTATCATTGCTTCTGCTATACTTAAATTGAGCCAACTAAGGACCTGATTTCTCACTGCTTTTGATCTTGCTGCTTCCAATGCTTATCAGGCCAGCAAGCTTCGCTTATGCCAGATTTGTAATGTTTTTCTGTCTAAAGCAGTTGCATTATTATTCAATAAAATTGTTCTTTTTATAAGTTAAAAATTCTCCTCATGAATAGATCAAGCCTTGTTTACTTGAGCCGGACTGAATTTTGACCAGTATCTGCTTATCTCAAACAGATTTGTGAAAAAATCTTTTTTGAATGAATGTAATAAGGTTCATGGAAAATTGTCGTAATTAAGAAATTCATCGAGAATTTCCTTTTTTTCTCCTGTTCCTTTTATTATTTTTAAGTATTCTCATCCTTTACTTTTCAAATGAATTGATTATTACAGAAACCTGTCGTACATTAGAATGAAGAAAGGAGTAGACTTCCTAAAGACAAAATATATTCTATAATAACGTTTCTTATTCAGAATCTTCAGCGTTTCGTAGTATGTAATTAAAAAGAGTAAAAGTGTATGTCTGTTTTGTTGAATGAACAGCATTTTGCTCTCCTGCATTTACATTCAAATAACGAAACAGACTTTTCAGGAGTTGAAAAATCGCACTTTATTAGGTATTGATGGAAACTTGTGCCTCCCCAATTTATTTTTTTACCATTTTTTTTTCTCCCTTTTCTTTTCCTGACATAGATTGTGTATTTTTTTTCCTTTCTTGTTTTTGATACTGCATTGTAAAATTTTAATCGTATTTTTATGGACTCACTTTTCAATGTTTGAGTCCTATGTTAATTTTTTTTGCTAATAAATTTATTGAATTTTTTAACGTTTGCATATCATTTGTTTCATTTCGGTTGAAGTGAATGTATTTCGGTTGAAGTGAATGTATTGCAGTTGAACTAATTCGAAGTATTGAAAGTAAATTGGAAGTAATTCGCACCTCAGGTATGAGGGATTTCTAGTATACAGTCTGTTTGAACAGATTGATTGGTTGATTTACTTACCTGCACTCAATTTAATTCTCAGCAAAGATTTCTTAAAAAGTTTTGTGAGCAATCATTTATTTTGAGACAATTTTTCTCTGTAGAGTGAGCATCCATTAAATCTATGAAGAGACCAAAACTCTTGAAAGTTCGTGATCCTTTAATATTCCTCTAAATTCTTAAAATAACTGGAGTAGGTACCTAAGCGTCCTCCACTTGATCAAAAACTAAATGAGCCCATGGGGTAGATCACAAAGTAATATTATAATTATAAATCTATTAGGTGTCGCATCAGTGGCGTAAAAAAGGGGGGGACTGGAGCCCCCCCCCTTCAGCCTCGTTAATTGCACCATTTTTTTACTTTTGGAGGACAGACCGACAGACATAAAATATTATCAGGGACGCACACGAAATAGTGTAAATTTACCGTCACATTTATGAATGGACCCCCCCTCGCCTCCCCCTTTAAAGAATTATTCCTAGCTACGCCACTGTGTCGCATGAGGCATAAGATAGCATGAGTTCAGCCTAGTAATGTGGCGATTGTATGTAAGTACATACATAACCAATGCCCTCACTATTCTTTTGAATTTCCCGCTATTTGGGTATCAACCCCCTCTCCCCTCTCCTTCTTGATGCTTTCCGCGCATGCGCCTGAGCCTCAATTTTTCTCTAGTTTTTATTTCTTAGGTTATGTTATGGTAAACATTTCGATCTCAAGTCTCAAGTCACATAGAGAAAAAAAAGGAGGTGTTTGCATTTCGGGCATCTTGGAATTTTTTGATGACTTGATGACGTAGGTGGGTACAGCGTGAATGGGACGTCGCTGTACCCAGCTGTACCCACCTACGTCATCAAGTCATCAAAATATTCTAAGATGCCCGAAATGCTAACACCTCCTTTTTTTTCTCTATGCTCAAGTCAAGGTCGATAGCAGTGATTCTATGAACCTTTTGCGCCGAATAATTACATAAAACTGTGAATTTCAATAAGTTTTACCCATCGTGACACCCTTTGCGTAGACATTTTGTTAGTTCTTTCTTGTTTACACGAGTTTCTAAGTTAATACCCGTGCTGGTGTTCTAGAAAGTACCATTCTACTCCTCAGCTCATTTTGCGCAACAACATCTTTTAGACCTAGATTTTATGTTTTACTCCTTTACATCTTCTCTAACTCGTTGTGACTATTCATCTCCAGACATATAATCAGACATACAGGTAGGACTGTCAATGTACGTAATTTTATTTGAGTGTATATTGTATACTGCAAATTTTTACAGCTCCAGTCGGAAGGAAAACATCTACGTACCATAGGGCGAGTATTGCTCCTTGATAATACCGATTAAACACACAGTAATATGTGTTAATTATCATGCGGAATGTAAAAAGTATGTATGACAGGCCAGTTTCAAATCCTGGACCGTCTAGCTCTCAAGCGGTAAGAAGAGCACTGGACCGCTTCTCTGCCATGCCATGCCGAAGTGGTATTAGAAACCATTTGAGCAGAACCATCCAGCCTGCAGCAATATCAGTGCCTGAAAATGTTGCTACTAAGTATTTTTATGCTGCTTCTGTTGCGCACAGGGGAAAGAAGAAGAAATTGAGATAATGTATTTGTCTAAAGTGTCTGTAAGTATAGAAAAAAAAACAACCCAGTTGGAGGTGGCAGGACCGTAGGTTCTCCTCGTTAGTTTTATGTGAAACTGAAGAAGTCCCATCTGCAGGCCCGCCACATCCTATCTCGGGCCCTGGTGCCAGTTTTCTGGCTTGGGCCCCTAGTATAGGGGGGGGGGTGTCCGGGGCCTCCCCCGGAAAATTTTTGAAATTTTAAATCTATTTGGACGTTTTGAAGCTCTTATGATGGAGATTTTCCATAGAAAAATTACGCCTTTTTTTTTTACTTTCGAATTGTTGCATTCAAAACATCTATAAACTTTTTTGAGGGGGGCAGATGATACTTTTCAATTCTAGGGGGAGCCGGGCCCCCCTGGACTCCCCTTTCGTACGTCTATGGCAAGGGAGTTGAGCCATTGAAGTCGAGAATGCCCAGACAGGAGGCTCTTAGCATCCGACAACGGAAGAAAATGAAACGCAGTTACTAAAAATATCATTCTACATGTACCTACTCAAAATCTTGAAAATAGAAAGAAATCTCTAAAAAAGTAAGAAAAATTTTATAGTGCCCTAGTGTGTTTTTGAAACTTTATTCACCTTTTGCGGAATTTTTAGGGTAATTTTTTCACTTTTCCTTACAAGACAAGGGTTACACATGAATTCGTAGTGGTTTGTCACCTGCGTCACGGGCCCCGGTACCAAGGGCCCAGTATCCCCCCCCCCTTGTGGCGGGCCTGCCCATCTGTTAAGTGTCTTATTCATATCTTCATCTTCAAGTGTCTATTTGTATGTATCATACTTACTGTGAATTTAATTCATTTCATTGTTGCAGATTTTTATGTGGCAAGGTGGGTCTAAAGTTTGCGTTTTTATCGGAATCATATTGTTCTGGCTCTATTCACTGACTACTTTTGGCACAATGGCATGGTTTTCTCATGGCAAATCAAATTTAGAACTCGTGAAAAGTTTAAAAAGTAAGTTTTAAAGTTTACTAATGTTTACCTACTTACCTCTTAAATTAAGGATGAGTTACTTACTAAATTGAATTTTTCAAAAATATGGCATTAAGATATTTTTATGAGATTTATAAAATATTAGATTATCTGAAGGTGTTGGCGTTTGTATCGTGATCAACTCAAGAGTCACTATCTAAGTGCTGCTGCTATCACAACATTAGCCTTCATGGCTGGGCATAGTGAATATTTAAATGAACATAGCACTAATGGACTTTCCTCTCATCAAATCAACAGATCATAAATTTTTGCATTACGTAGCATAAGAACGAGCTTTGTACCTAACTGCGTTGTTTGAAAGTAATGTATTTTTAAAGATTACGACTCTAATAAAGATAATTTTGGTTCCATGTGGTTTTTACTTTGACCCAGCCAGAACTAGGCCCAGGATTATCTAAAGGTACAATCTGGTGACAAAGTTCAGCACAATCCCTGCTGGCTCACTTTTCGTAACCCTTTGGGCGAGTTTTTTAATATGTATCATCACAGCTGGCAAACTGAATAATTCATCCATAGAATCTAATATTTTGCTAACACATCACTATGTTTTTCCTGAATTTCTTTATCAATTAATTTGGATCATAACATTTGGCCCAGACCATTAATGGCATTGTTTCCTAACAGATAATGGAATTATTAAAAGTTCCCGTGTGGAAGAGGCTATGTTGAGCGTGGATCGAGGAAAGTATGTCAAGGAGAACTCTTATAGAGATGCCCCTCAAGGAATTGGTTATGGCGTTACAATCAGCGCTCCGCATATGGTGAGTGATTCCTTTTTCATGGGTATTTAATATTGTTAAAGAAAATACAAATTTCAGAAATAAAATTCCGCAAATACAGGTTTATGCAAAACAAAATAGGTTTAACTTTAGAGAGGTAAGGACTGGATTTCTGGTTAATCAATCTCTTCAGTCAAAACTGAAGTCCTTTTATAGACAAGTTGGCTTATGCACACCATAATCGAAAATGAAGATTACACAGATTTGATGTTTCTTGTTAATATGGATCTACTCATTCCCGCATTCCTTGCCTCCGTCCCTCTCTAATTCTATTTGTTCCCTGACATGTCCCTAATTTTCCGGTCCATTCCAGTTTTTAATCTTTTTAATTGATGGAAATGTAATTTTTATTTCTGCTTGGGACACTGTAAAGGCCTAGAACAAACAGGAGCTGATCACCTTTTGTCTTTACTCTCAGTATAAAGAGTCTCTTGTCAGAATTCGTTCAAAACTTATCCATCACATCGAGCTCAAAATTGCTTTTAGAGGCAACATTAATAGACTATTTCCTTAAACTTATTGCCTTTTATTTTTGGCCCCATGCCTCAAACCAATATTAGGAGAAGAACACTGCTTAATGAATTGACAATTTTGATTAGTTCAAGAGCTATTTGCAATCTTCTTAGGATGAACCAAAATGAATATATGTTTTGCAAATACAGAAGCAGAAACATAGTATTTTTACTTTATCATCATTGAAGGCATTTTGTTTTTGTATAATTAGTCTATGTACCTAAAAAAGTAACCATTCATTTTTATCTGTTCTACAGCATGCTTATGCACTAGAGGCATTGAAGGATCATTTGGTGGAAGGCGAAAAAGCGTTAGATGTTGGTTCTGGGTCCGGTTACCTAACAGCATGCATGGCTCTACTGGTTGGCAAATCAGGCAAAGCAGTGGGGATCGACCACATCCCTGAGCTAGTCGAATATTCAGTAAAAAATGTCATGTCAGATCATCCTGAACTATTAGAATCTGGAGTTGTTAAATTAGTCGGTAAGTTTTTTAATGTGATCTATGTTTTCTGAAGCTTCAGAAAAGAATACTGAGGGACTTATTGTCTCCACAAAGAAGGATCTTACCCTTTGTTGTTGGAAATTCAAACACTGTCTTGTTACAGAGGTAATGTAGCAAATTTGTAAAAGTTTCGGATATTTTGACACCCACCCACCCTTTGTAACTGGTGTTAACCCACTTGTCCCCAGACCTCATTGAAATAATTGCGTACATATACTGTGACACTTTCCCTCGGCTTTTCTCACAGAAGAAATGAAACTGAAGTTTGTATGGCCTCCATAAATTGGCTAGAGTATATAGATTTACTTCTACTTAGTATCATTGGAAAAACGATTATTTCGAGCACTAAATTGAGAAATGTAAGTATTCAAGTAAAAAAAGAGTTGAAAAAAAATGTTGTGAAAAATACAAATCCAGTATACATACTGTTACGCAATGCTGAGCTTGACACTATTTTACCCCTCGTTATGCTCGGTCACAAAATTAGAGTCAGGGTATGAATTCAAGTCTGCATTATAAAAAGAAAATTAGGAGTTGTAAAAAGGAAGAGCCTTCAGATTGGAAATCCTGGAAATAATTCTGTCTCCTTTTTAATTTTCTCAGACTTTAATCTTTTCTGTTCCATTTCATTTCCGCTCTTTGTGAGTCCCTTGCTACATCCCTGTTTGTCCTGATATTTTAACCCCAATGATATGAGGACTTTTACTTTAACCAAGTGGTGATTATTTTCAGTAGTTTCTTTTTGTCCAATTGAACTGTTTTGCTTTGAGACTCTAAAAGTAATAAATTGAAGTGTCTGTCACCATGAGTTATCTTGTGTTCTGTTTTTATATCTTAGCTGGTGATGGACGACAAGGATATAGCCCAGAGGCACCTTATAATGCAATACATGTAGGTGCTGCTGCACCTATTTTACCACAAGCGGTAAGATCAATTCCTTTTTAAATTTTAAAGACTAAATTATTTAGGACAAATTTGTCGCAAGTAGAAAAATGAGTCCAACTTTTATGAAGGAAAAGGAGCCAACCTGTTAAAAGTGGTTGTCAGAACATCATTTTTTATCCAAAAAAATCCTTAGTGGATTTAATTTCAATTTTAATGAGCCGTAGTATTTTTCTCGACTTTTAACAATCGAAATTTTTAATTCAGTGGACAATTGTCTGCCTTTAGTATTTATAATTTTGTAATAGTTCCAATTAAATGATTGGCATCAATAAAATTGAATTTAGTAACCAAGAAAAAATTAAAAAGTTGAAAAAGAAAAATTAAATTAACTTACATTAAACGAGCAATGAAAACATTCGGAAGCATTTGGCATGTAGAATAATTATCTATAAAATTTTACCTGTATTGAGTAGCTTTCTGTTTTGTATTGATTTTGGTTTTTTTCCACTCGTGGACGGCTTCGAAATAGACTGATTTAGTGGTTACGTCATTCAATATAATATTGAACTCTTGGTTCAAACCAAAAAAAAACTAACATAACCTCATGTACAAATTTTTCAAGAGTTAATTGTGTTAATTCATCACAATTTAGTCATTGATCGGTCATAAATCAATTGAAGACCCATTAAACATGACAGCTATTGATTGTAGGAAACACTTGGGCGCATTTTACCACCATGGCGCAAAGGCGACGAACCTGAAACAAGGTTCTGTGTTTGTTTACATTTTAGCCAAGGGTTGGATATTATATCAAATGACGTAGCCACTAAATCAGTCTATTAAAGGTTGGCTGAAGACTATTCTTGCAGTATCTGAATTTTCCTTCAATGCATCTATTTTATTTTTAGCTCATGGTTGATTTTTAATTTACTCTTTTTTTGTTTCAGTTAATTGATCAGTTAAAGCCTGGCGGCCGACTTATAATTCCTGTTGGACCGGCGCACGGCGAGCAAAATTTAGAACAAATCGATAAGTTAGCTGATGGTTCTGTCACAAGACAAGCATTGATGGGTGTTGTATACGTGCCTTTGACTGATAAATCAACTCAATGGCCTGGCAGGTGGAAATAATATTGTGTTGTCACGTAGGCAATTATACTGTTTGCTTAAACCTCTGTCCTTTTTTCCATGCACTGTCCCTGTACGTACGAAGAAAAATTGAATATTCATTATATTCTGAGATGAAGGTACAAAATATTTTAGATCAAATTAAGATTCATTCTTCCAAGAACTAGGATCTCTGTTCAGAAGTCTAATTAGGAGACGAACTTGATGCTCCGTTTCACAGTGCGATAACTTGTATATCTGTCTCCCTCTCCAGCATCAACTTGCTTCTTTGATTTCAACAGGGAACCAACATTTAACAGAACTCTAGAGAGTTTGCTTTTAAAAGATAATATTATAATGATGATAATATTTTAATAATTTTTAATCTGTCAGTGAGTAACAAATTTAAACGAAATCAAGCATAGAGAGTCAAGTCAAGATAATTATTTTAATGGTAGGCAGATTCCTGATTTTTTTTAACATAGTAAAATCTTGCTAACTTTTTTTCTCTTCTAGTCATAAACTTGCATGAATAATGAGAATGGGCCTCTCGACTAGCTCTGCACCAGGTGCGAGTTAAAGCACTGTACAACATGTTTCCTCTTCCAAATTTCACGAGCAAAATAAATTGCACAACAAGAAGTATGGAAATCAACTTCTACCCAAGATGTAAGTACTCTCAATTAACATTAATTAAATGGCCAAAATACAAATGAAGTCATTCCTATCTGTTCCCAAAAAAAAAAAAAAAAAAAAATGAAGCCAAGAATTCGTGTTAAGATTTCATTCAGAAATTGATTTTGGAAATTTCTGTTGGATGAGTTGTTTTCTATGTGAAATATTTTGAAGAGGAAACATGTGACGCTTCTTCCAGTCCAGAACTTAGAGTTAAGATGCTGTAAAGGCGCTGTGTGCATACTAACATTTGAAAGTGAATTGTACCCATTGAGAAGTCTAAATTTGGAAATGCAAAGCAAAAAAGGGGGATTCGTTAAAGTCAGAAAGCTACCCCAGTCGGAAAATCCTTGGTGCTGATAACAAATGACTTGGTGAGGTTTTGCTGTACTACATCAGCACTGTAATTGTACTTTAATGGTACGATATCCATAATTTCCTATATCTAAAAGGTCTGTTTTCTTTTTTTTAATTCGATTTTCAATCTTATCACTTCATCCTTCTTTTAAGATTATTGAATAATTTATAAGTTCTGAAAACAAAATAATTTTGTTAATGTTTCATGATTTTTCAATTTATATTGTTCTATAGTTAAAATTATTTTGACTATTTTTATTGAAGTTAATTTTGACCATTATTGTCAAAATAAAGTAAACACAGTTGTGTGTAGACAAAAGTTGATCAACTTAGAGTCTTCTAAGAGCATGTAAGCGATACTTACTTTAGCATTGACTTTTCCTTCTTTGAAATTTAAAGTCTCCTCAGAAATAATAAGAATATGACACATGATTGTGGCATTCATCTCTTTCTCCCAGTCCCTTACCAAAGAATTGAAATATCATTTTTCTCAGTCGAAGATGGATGTTGGTTTTCAGTTGCTTCTTTACTAAAAATCTGGTGGATGTATGTTCAGAAAAAGTGTTTCCTCAAACATAAGTGTTCAAATTTATCTTTTGTGATTTCATAATTTACACGCGTCTGCCACCTTAATAAAGCAAGGACCAGAGAAGGTAATACCCAGTCAATTTTCAGCGCTGGGTCATTAATTATTATTGGTTTGACCCTCTCAAGTAAGGATTTTTCAAAGAATGCAACTTTGTCTGAAAATAAAAAACCAGGATTTTCTGGAAAGCTGATGCACGCATGGAAAAAACATTTCGAGTTCAGTAGCCAAAAATGTATTGTAGCACATCTATGGCATGTTTAAAAATTTTTTTCACTTTTTCTGATCAAAAATTTTCCTTGGTCAAAAGACAAAAATTTGCCCAGTGCAAATCGTACCAGTTTGTTTTGCGTCTAGAAGGGAGGAAAACACTTTTTTTCCTAAATTTGTGATAGAGCTACAAGCTAGTATGAACCAGTGTCATTTGGACTATAGAAGCCAAAACTAGGACTAGCTCCATCAGATGTCTAGAGAACTATTTGTTACCCTCCCTTTCCTACGCAAAACAAGCCAGGTTTTCCATAATTTTTTCATTTTCTAATTCTCTGCCTCTGTTTGCTATTTCCTGACATCGAAATTTTCGAACTACTCGGCTTTCCCTGGCCTCCAATCAAAACGCTTGGTTTTGTTTTCTTCAGATTCCGCTGACTTTTGAATTACTCTGGTTGATACCTGTACTTCTAGTGCTCCAAATTAAGGGAGAAGGCATTTTGAAGTGGCCTGTGCTCTCTCAATTGGCACCGGCTGAAGATACTAAGCCTCGTGCAAAATTCCCTGACTTTTCCAGGTTACTGTAAATTCTCTGACGTTGAATGTCCAGACCGTTGAAAACTCTGCCAGTAGATAAGATTTGTATCCGCCACTTGGGCGGTTTTTGATGTTTGACTAGGTACGAAAACTTTTTCATCAGGAACAATGAGAAAAGTTATTAGGCATGCCCAATGATTACTTTTAAGTATTTTTGGGTGCTAAGCCTGAAAGGAAATAACATTTTTTTTCTTTTTCTGAGCACTTACCAATTTTTCCAAGGAAGTTTATATTCTAGGAAATCTTTCCTTAATAGGGGAACACAAATAGCATTTTCAGACTCATTGTTAGTCCTAAAATCTATCAAGAATTACCAACTGAGATCCTTGCTTTATTTCACAGATTTTTTTGTACACATACTGGTACCTATGTCACATTCCCAGATGAATGATACCCATTATATTGTCATCTTTCTTTCGCAACCTTGAATGTCAGATGTGTCCACAGGGTCCTAGCGAGAGGCATGCGAGCATGGTTACGTCGTAAAAATGAAAAGCGGCGAACATCACAAAATTCATAAAAATTTTCTCTCGAAGAAACTTCCCATGCAGATTTGCGGTGAGTGCAAATCGGGTCCCCCATCACTTTAGATACTTATTCTGATTGATTGAATTTTAAATGCAAAGGCTATCATCAATAACTTTGCGTATTTCCTCTTCAGCATCCATGTGGATAGGAATAGTATTTTTAGCCAAGGTGTTTATTTTTAACTTTTGAAGGAATAAAGTTATTGACTGAATCTTAGTCTCACATGAAAGCTCTTGTCTAGAGTTATCATTTGGTGCAATGAAGTTTACTTCAAGAATTTTTCACTGCAAAAAAGAAAAAGAAATATATTTATATATTTTTTTTAGGTTCCAGACATTCTGTTTGTTCAGTGTTTCAAATGTTTGGATCACAGACTAAAAGACAAAAACTTGTTGTACAGCAGCTGTTGATCTGTGGCTCTAAAACATGGCATCATGCAATGTGGGGAAATGTTTGATTTCAAAAATTCCATCACTCATACGAGTCAAAAACATGAAGTTGTCTTAGCCTCAAATCGGACAGTACTTACATATTTAAAGATTTAATAAAGTAGTAAAAAATGTTTGTAGGGGGAGTTCAGCAGAGTTTGGCAAGTTTTAAGTATGTTAGTAATACAATGTACCAATTATGATTTGGACTCGTTTGGGGATAATTTTTTTTTGTTGGCATAATTGGTTTTTGGTAAACAATTAGTCAGGCACCACCCAGGAGTAAAAATAAACTTTTCACCTGTTTTCAACCTCAAATTGCGAGGTGCTAGCCATCACCGTTTCAACATGGCGGCCAGTCAAGATTTTTTGAACTGTGACTGGATGAAGTCACTTTGCTGAAAATTCCTCCTTTCATTCTCTCTCCAATAATGTACCACTCGATGGGGGTTGTTGAGAATGAAAATTTAGATACAAGGCCTGTCAGGGTGGGAAGCTTATTTTTTTAACAACCCTCAGGGAGTGGCTTACAACTTGAAAAAGAGAATAAGAGAAAAAGACCTTTTTTCACAAAAACCGTAGGTACATTTTGAAGCTTTTTACTTCTATCTCAAAAGTTAACAGGAGTGGGAAAACTCTTGGGATACCCTGTAGGTATATCTTTTCCCACTTGCAAATTCTGAATTCGAAATATTTAAGGGCTAAAAAAAAGCATATCTTGTGAGCTTCCTTTTGATCACTAACAAGTGTCACAAAAGCCGCAATAACACACCCCATCAAAAAAACATAAGCAAGCCATCTTTTTTCTTTCAAAAAGTACTTCTTCCCCATATATCACACCTCTAACTTTTTAATCCCGCTTAGCTACCAAAGTAGCAAATTAAATATTATTCTCTTCGGCCTCTTGAATGGGTGACACTCAGAATGGAACTTTTGTAAGAGCCGGATATTTTCGATTTGACCAGCCAATGGTAAGTTAAATTTTGCGAGAAACATTGAAGTTCTCTCGATCATGTCTGAGAACAAATCCCAGCTCAAAACATTTGCCTTTCGGATGTAGTATTCAGAAATTCAGGAATGGTTTTCCTTTGAGACATCATGTCTGTTCTTTTTTCTTTTATATATGTATACTCCTCATACTGATCGTTTTTTTTGGTTTTTGTTTTCTTAGGGACAGCTCCTAACACTGAATAACTAAGGAGACAAATCCATGCTGTTATTCCGAAGTTGTGCGGTTCATCATGACTTTTTTGCTCATACCTTTGTTTTACCAGAATGTAATTTTGCAGTATTATTCGTATTAGTAATCTACATTTATAACTGTATGATGTTTCTTTTCCTAATTCTCTAGCTAAGTTGTGATGTAAAAATACATTGACTCTTCATTAATAACGCGAAACACATGCCTTCCAGGTTATTTTTTTATTGTTTTACGCGCGAAGCGCCTAGTATAAAGTTATATCTGTGATCTCCACTTTGGTTTTCGGCAAAAAACTTCGTGCCCTTAAGTTTTCATTACTTCTTTATGGAAGTTGGCCTATGATTAGCTTCTGAGGTTTAAGAATCTACATTGATGAAAGTTTCGAGAAAATGCGGAAGCTAGGTCTCATCAAATTTAGAAAACAAATCTAAAGATAGCAAGTTTTTAAACTAGATATTGCAGATTTTTATCGAAATTTTACTATTCATACCCACCAGTTTCTCAAACTTTTCTCACCATTTTTCAAGTTTTCATTTATCATGGAAAAACCAACAAATTGAGTTTTCTCCTACTTTTTGTACCTACTGGAGAAAAATAAAACTATGTCTGGGTTGAAAACTTGTAGTTTTCCACCATGTAACTATTCAAGAGGAGGATAAGTGAAATTGTCAAAGAAAATCCTATCATGTTGCACACTGCGACTGCTCAACAACGGAGGACACCCTTCCGACAACATTGGAGATGCTGGAAATTCCGTTCTTTTGAAGTTGAATTTTTGTGAGAGGATTACGTTCAGTTTTTTAATCACCACTAATATTTACAAGAAAACAAAATTCACAGCCGAAAGGAATTTTGTTCTCTCGAAACCATGAAATCACGAATTCACTTCACAAAATCAGAATAACATTGAAATATTGTTTCTTCTCTGAAAACTTGACAATGAGGACTTCTTAAATTCCTCATGCTGATGTATGTGCTAATGTGTGTGTGCGGAATCGGAGACCACTATTAATCTGATAGAAGAGATGCATTTAAAATTGGATACATTCAATTGGGAGGCAAGTAAAACTTGCTCTCGCAGATTTTATGAATGCAATCCAAAACAATTATTAATTTATTCATTCATAACTTTATTTTTTTGAGAGGAGGGGCTAACAGCTTTTAATACAGATGTAAATAAAATACACTTGTAGAACCTCAACTAGTTTTGCCACTTCGAAATCCTTTTCTTTTCAAAGAGAAAATTCCAAAATAATGGGACAGTATAAGAGTTCATTATGCAAAGGATGAAAAGTAAATGCCTTCAGTTTATATATCTTTATTAAGCATATTGATTGATGAGTTTCCAAAGAAATATTTACATCAATTTTGTTGAAACAAGGTCAAGTAATCAATACTTTAGATTCACTTATTAAAGTATAACTGAAGGGAACTTAGTCTCTACATGTACTTAGATTTACATTGATTTTTCGTTTTACAATTTAAATTAAGCATTGATTTTCAGTTTTTTAAAACTTGTAAAACTTTTCTTGCAAATCAACCCTTGACATTTTAGAGAGTATCTAGGGTATGGAGACAAATTGGATCATTTTTACTAAAACACAGACAGTTTTTAACATGATATAGGTAAAAAAATATTAGCATAAAATTGGTCAAATAAACAGAATAGGTATTAAGAGGAAAAAACAGAGCTCTAAACAGGCACTTCATTATTTCAGCATGTTTAAAATTCTGTCTCAACGGACTGGCAATTTGGTTCAAGATGTAAAAAAAAGGGATGCAGATAATATGGATCAGCGAACAAGTGTTGGCTTGGGAATACAATGGGAGATAGTTTAAAAATCATATCGATGAATAAATTACAGTTTACCGATGTAAATTACGATACATAATGTTTCAAATAATCGATCGCAAATAAAATTAGCACATTAAAATCTACATGAAGGTTAATAGTCACTATATATACAGATGACGGTGAGTTTCCCCTTTTTCGGATGACCATAACTTAGAAAAAATAACTTTAAAAAATCGGTGTTTGAAATAGCAGAGGTATTAATTTGAGGAGCTTGAGGGGTTATCATAAGAACTTTTGTTTTTCACAAGAAAATCAGCAAGAAAAGCAATTGGATCCGGAGGCCTGAAAAAAAATAAAAACCAATAGATAGACTAACACAGGTCAATTGATAAACTTGTTGTAACATTGTTACTGAGGAAAAATTGGTTAGACAGAGCACGTCAGATTTATAAAGGGGCTCAGTGTTGAAATATTTAGTAGGCGAGGAGCATCTCTAATGGGCAACCCTGCAACTTCATGTAAATATTTTGGAAACATTTTTTGCTATTCAACATCTTGAATAATATTTTGCCCTCTTTCATTCAAATTTGATCTATGGTCATCGTTTGAATGCAAATAAAATTTGAATCACAATCCTAAATGGACCACTTGACAAGGTACGAATTTAAGCATTCTGATACATATTTCTTGACCAAACTTTTACGTAGAACACGGTTCGGGCAACGAAAATTACCAAAATGAACCTCTAACAAAGATATTAAAGTTTTTATTTCACAGTAGTTTCGAGGAATTTGAACTGCCCGCTCATAAGAAACTCAAAGCTCTACGTGAGTCAAATCGTGCACTTACAACGGTTTCAGCGAGCTTCTCAATCGAGCAATGTTCAATTCCCACCATGTGTTGTTCAAACTATAAACAACTTGCTATAGCTGAGCCAAAGCGTCAAGATTGAGGTTGCCAGATTTTTATATCGCAGAGACTGTCATGATAACGTTTAGCGCGCGATGTGAGTCACGTAGCTCATTGAGTTTTCATGAGCGGGTGGTTTGAATTCACGCATCAAGAAGCATTAAATATCTTCGTAAGGAGTTGATTTCGGTAATTTTCATTGTGCGTGTCGTGTTCTACGTGAAATTTTGGTTATGAAATGTGTATCAGAATGCCGAAATTCCTGCCTTGTCTACTGGTCCATTCCACAGTTTAAGGAAATTCAAAATGAGAATGCATTTTTCCGTGTACTTATTTTCCTTAATTCATGTAGTGAGAAAGTCAGCACCATGTATGGTTTTACGGACATTGACCTACTTAAGTATGCATAACAATAAGATATTACCTCTGTTTAGCCAGGGTTGAAAGGCCTTTCAACAAGATTGGTACAACAGTTTGATCGAGGTATTGTCGCGTTGGCAATGACTGAAAGTCCACGCGAGATTTCTTTGCCTTGCTTCCTTCAGAGCCAGAGTCTTTTTCTGATTTTGCAAGTTTCTGGGGAAAAAAAGTGATTTCAATCATTAAAGCTGCATGGTGGTGAGAAAAGTAATATAAAACAAACTTGAAATCCTGAAAAATCCTGAAACTAAGGAAAACAAACGCTGAAAAAAAGTTGAAGATAAGAGGTCTTGTTGGGCAAAAACGAATTGCTAATACTGCTCCATAAAACAACGGTGGCTATAATTTCTGAGCAAACCTCCTTGCCATAAGGCAGCTATATGTTACGTTACATGACATTGCATTAGTTAGAGCTCTGGATCCAGTAGAAGGTTCAGCTCAGGGATGAGAAGATAATTTTACTTGTGCACCTCCGTTCATTAGCAACACAATGCAATTCACTAAAAGGGAGTTTTTTTCTGTTCATTTTTTTGCCAAGTTTTTACAAATATTCTGAGAGGAGAAAATTTGAGATGAGCGCAATTAAAGGAGACATTTTAAAATCCCAGGTTAAGCAGGTAACGAATTGAGCACATGTTTAGATACATATAAAGAGTAGTGATTGAATCACAATCCTTACATCCTTAACATTTGAATTTGGAAAAAGAGCAAAACTTTTAAGACACAGAACCTGGTTGGAAATGTAAGTTTTTTATACTAGTTATTGTGAAATCTCAAGAACAAATTCTCGTAATTAAGGGGCTTGGAAATGATAAATTCGCACATAAACCATCTGTGAAGCTTGGGGCTTGCTTATCGTATGTTAAGATAAAAGTCCGGTCTTGTTAACACTATCACTCATCCATGGTGTCATTTGATGAACTAACATTTTGAAAAGTGCTGATCCAGAGCTAATCAGTGTTCGAAACTCACCTTGGAGTTTCAGGAGCAATGTGGCCCATCAAGCTCGATTTTTAAGGGCCATTGAAGATTTTTCAGAGGCCAAATTGACTTTTCGCCTAGTAAAAGTTGGAATCTGATGCCATGGGTCGAAATTTCAAAACGTCACCCGACAGCAAAATTAGGATTTTTTGGGGGGAATTTTTAGGGGACTTGCTGGCACAGAGCCTTCATTTCTTAGGCGCCAAGACCAATTTCTTAGGCACCTTGGCGCCCGTGAGTTTCGAACACAGGAGCTGATCAAAGAATGAATCTTGTCTTAAGTAACACACAATGAAAAAAGTTAAAAAAAAGTTGAAACATGAGTAAAGCATGCAGGACTTTCTCTTTTCGATTTAAGTATGATTTCGTTACTCACAAATATCTAACACTATATTGAATTAAAGAGTACCTCATCTTTAGAAACACCGTTTGCGCCATTCCCAGTCGGCACTTTGAAGGTGCTATCACTGTCAGCAGGAGTGGTTCCAGTTCCGGACGATGAATCAACTGGCAAAAAAAGGAGGAAAATTGTAATTATGATTCAATGTTAATGATGGAATTTTGCAATTAAGCACACATATAATGACCACTATATTTCCATCACTATAATCTTGAAATAGATTTGGGGAAAGAAAAGAAGGGACCAACGGCACATCAATCTGGGTGCATCGATCATCAGTTGGCCCATAGGTTACCATGAAAATTTATGTTGAATTGTTGGTTGAATGGTTCCATTCTCTGAAATGACATTACTTAGTCTATTCTAATCTTTCCCCAGTTCTAATTTTCTATTGAAATTAACCAACAATATGACTTTCAATTATGATAACAGTGTGAGTAATAATACTTAATATTTCTACAAATTACTTAAATAAACGAAATTGTTAAGAGGCAATTCTATTAAAGTCACAATGATGCTCTGAGCTCGTACCCAACAGGGCTGAAGTAAGCGGCGTCTCCACAATAAAAGCCCTTTTTTGTTTAATTTTCAACGCTTTGACCTTTTTTCTGCTTCCTTTAAATTTACGAGTTGCCATGATTTTTGAGGAAGCAAGCTATTTTTGGTGTGACTCAACGAAATATCTGCGACTCTCTTTCTTACATGCTGGCCTTACCACTTCTTTCAAGCAACCGCAGTCGAGTGGTCAGAAAGTTTTGCATCCACGGTGCCTACGCAGGCAAATCGGACTCTTGAGATTATTGACAGAGTTACGTCTTCAACAATGTCATGGGCAGAATTGCAATTAGATCAACAACTGGGTAATTTGTCATATTAATCATTCATTTACTCCAGAACAGCTGCAATGTACCTAACACCCCAGCTTCCATCCAATACAATAACTTGCAACAAACAATTTACAACCCAGCTGGAATAATTCCTTCAAAGACACTGCAAAAAAATTGCCACTAATGGCTCTTACATCCTTATGTGCCGAGTCGATTTAGCTTCCTTTCTATTCCAATCTCTTAGGTACTATCTCGCCACCTCTGTGTTCCTGATTAAGATGATAATTGAGAGGCTTGAAGGACAAGGCACATAAGTCCAGTTTCCGAAAACATTGAGATATTCGTAAACTCAACTAATACTAGTTTGAAAGTATATTCTGTGAAACATTCACAACTAAAGTCCAACTTAAAAGCATTAAGAAGTGAGTATGAACTTCCTATCTGCCATAAGGCTCAATGTAATTTTGAGACTGAAAGCATGTATATTTGGAAATAGCAAAACCTGCATTTATGGGTCTCGTCCTTAAAGTCCCTGAATTCAAATCCCACTCCCATTGAATCTCCAATTCTTATGAGGTTGAATAACCTCACAACGATTTAATTTAGGTTAAAGAAATGATTACCGACACCGGTGGACAGATGCACAGCAAGGACAAAATCTCTATATCATTACAGGTGCGCCCTCAAGACACAGATTTTAGGTGACTCCTAAGAGCATGTGGATTAATATTCGCCAAAGCTCTGCTTAGAAGGTACTTCAGAAAAAAGCTGTAAGAATGCATGACATGCCAAGCTACATTTCAAGTATAACATTCAGAGAGAAAGAGTTTTGGGTTCAATTCTAGGAGCTGGTTCTGGCTACTGGAATCTACCCCTCGTATTAAAGAGTTGGCTTACTTGAAAGGAAGAGAATGTGAAAATACTTACCGCTCATAGTTAAAAGGCTTCCGTGAGTCTGACAAAGCTAAAGACGAAAGAGCTCAGCTTCTTTTCTTCAACAGTTGACTGAGCTTGAATAGCCACACACAATTAGGGGCGTAATTGACTCGCTCAACTAACTGTATGGTGAGTAACTTAAAATCGAAATTGCTAATCCCGAAAATCAGGCACACTTTTCACTTTTCAGTAACTCAATTCTTAGTTCCACTCATTGTGGAACCACGAAACAATACGAAGAAAACTGCTGGCTTACGGCTGATTGATGCATTGACGTATAATACAATCTAGACCGCGCATTGGGCCCGACTTTAGGCGGGGAAGGTAAGACAGCTAGGGGGGTAAAGACGCGCCTTCAGCCTAGTTGATACCGCCGGATATACGAGCTAAGTGTACCCGTATCAGGCAACGGCACTGGCAAGACTGGCATTTCCACAAATTCCACCATTGTCTCGCCGGTACACTTGCTGTGTGTTGCTGGGTTGCCTATCGTCTCGCTTGAATTTCGTAATGCGCGGTCTAGATTGTATTATACGTCAATGGATTGATGCTATTTGCTCTTTGCTCAGGATAGGCGGGCAGCAGCAGCCAAAGATTACTGGCACCATAGAGAAGAGATATGTATAGTAGTAACGTAGGAATGTGTAACGGCGCAAATGTTGCTTCACGCCGTGCATGTAGTGCATATAGTGCATATCACCCAGGATAGAAAATAAAGGGCAGCAACACAGTCGCTACAGTCGCTACCAGAGGATTTTAGACGAAGACATTGAATCTTAGAGATCAGGGTTTTTAACGCTGGATTGCGACGCAGAAAAAAAAATCAATCTTATTTCTTAGAGGACCCAAAATTTCTTCCAAAGTGATCGTTGAAATTGGCTAAAATTGGCGGGAGCCGTCAAAAATCTATATACCAATCAAAGGCAAGAGACAACAGGCAGAAGTAGATGTCACGGCTGAGGGCTGGCACTGCTGGCAGCTAGGCTGCTTCCCGCTTTGTCTCTGTTCCCGCTAGCATAGTCTTTGGAATAGAAATTTGAGGTTATATTTTTATTACGGTGTTTTTGTCATGTTTTTGTTATCAAACAGCGCAGAATAAATTTCTCCGTTTAATAACTGGCTGCCACAAGTACCAACTCGTTGACGTGATCCATAGAAATGCTCGCATTCCACTAGTCAAAGACTACGTAAAAGAACTGACTTTACGCCACATTCATCGATTGGAAGGCCATCGCAGCCATTTGGCTTTGTCATTACTCGACAACAGCGAAACTCAAAGAAGACTAAAAAGACGACACATACTCGACATATTCTTTACTGCAGACACAGGAGATCCTTAAGACATTCCCCACCACTTCATAGAATTCACCACCCATCAAAGAAACAAACAATTTCCAAATCACTATCAAGCTAAACCCTAAACCACACGTCGAGAAAAGAAATTTCCCCATAAAAATAAAAATCCTCGCGGCAATAGCACCCGTTAGGAACGGAACAAAGCAACTTCACTAAAGCTGAGTAAATTCAAATCACCCGCCCGGCTGTCAGCCAACAGGGAATCCCCCCCACCACCTCACCGACCTGGAAGGTCGTCAGCGAGGCCTCCCTCGCCTCGCCAAGCTCTATGAACCCCTGCGATTGGTAGTACACTCCCGATCGCCCCCACGCTATCACAACGCTACAACGGTCGCCGATTGGCCAAATGCCAGATTGCACCATACTCAAACCAACAACAACAACAGTTATCAGTAGGTATTCAGGTAAATTGGGATTTTGATCCTCTGGTTCTCTTGTTTCGTTGACGCGCCTTTCACGCTACACCTGCACCATCATCTGTAATTTCTCTAAGCGGAAAAAGCATATTTTTTGGATGAGTGATGCCTTTGCCAATACAGCATGATTATCCTCTTTCTCGGGGATCTCTGCATGATTTCGGTATCACCGTTGACAAACAACCATCAGTCATAGAGTTTGGAACAAAATATACCAAGTAAGAATCTTTATTATTTCTATCATCAGAAATTTCACATTCCATTGCTTTTCTGTGCAATATATCATAGACTGAGAGTCGGATGACATTAGGGCGGCAAACTCATGAAGCAAGTTTTGACCTCGGATGTTTACAGCGCTACATGTTTTAAGACGGAAAATTTTTGTCTGTTGCGCTGTGAGGTTGATGGGGCCCATCGCCCTCACACTTTGGCAATCATAGGGGTCTGAAGGGGCAGATACACCCGCGAGTTAGCTGTGTGGCTTGAGCGGAGAGTAGGCCTTTGGCCTTGTTTGGCAATCTTCGTAGCCAATTCGCCACCTGCAACTCGTCGCCTGTGACTCGCCGCCTGTAACTCGCTCAAAGTAACACCTCTAAATAACAAACTTCTGATATTCGACATATATTTTAAATTTTATTGACAATGTGCCTGTTGCAAAGTTTTGCTAGAGCACTCATAGTAAATGCCTCAAAAATCACGATGAACGCATCGGCAAAGTCCGAAATGCACTCCTTACTTCACAATTTACGGAAGAAATTTGGGTTTTTTCGAGCTTCCTGCCTTCGAAACGATACCATGGCATAGGTGAACATTTTGCTAGAGGAGTCATTCCATCCAACCCCTGCTCACAAGGATACTATACAACTTTCAACATAGCCGACCCCAATCCGCCAAAACACATGTGACGGGACGATGATTCTAACCACCTGATAACAATCTGCGTGTTTATATTCACATTTTTCTTGCGTCAATAGATATCCGCCTTGATTGACCTCGGCTCTCCTCAACTTGCGCGCGGAAGCATCGGCCATGTTGAGCAGGGAATGAATAGAACGACTCTTCTAACAAAATGTTCACCTGTACTGTAGTATCCTTTTTGAAGCGAGGAGCTTAAAGAAACACAAATTTCTTATGCAGATTGTGAAGTTACAAGTGAAATCCAGAGTTTGTTGATGCGCCAATCAAGATTTTTGAGACATTATCTACAAGGGTCAACTCTTATTTTTGCTCCAGCAAAAGGTCTGCAACAGGCCCATTGATGGGAATATCTGAATGTCATTATAGCAGGGTTGCCACGGTCAGGGAATTCAGGGAAATCCTGGAAAAGTCAGGGGGAAAAAAGTGCTCTGGATATCCTGGAAAAGTTAGGGAATATGACCAAAAACAGCTAAAAGTCAGGGAAAAATTGACAATTTTCACGAGTTACTTAAAATCTTTCTTTTTTTCGGTTTTGAACGCAATATAAATTGCGATGAAGTGGCATATCTCGCGATGCATTCAAGAGTTAAATTATGCAGCCGTATTCGGTCGCCAACGCAACAAGCAACGCAAATTAGAATGCCCAGTTTTTGTGTGTATTTTTGAAATTTCAACTACTACCGATGACCAACCACTAACTGTTTAATTTTCTACTTTAAAGTAATTCGAGTGGCTAAGATTATTGGAAACGCAAAGCATCATCGTTCCTGAAAAATAAACCATTTGAAGCTCACTTTAAAAATAGGTGTTCGAAAAATCCTGGAAAGGGAGAGATAAATAGAGAAACGAACACCAGGGAAGACCCTTTTTTTAGAGTGTTTCTTCAAAAGAACAATTGTTCAAAAGTTTTCATTTCTAAAACAATTATCGGGTTGCTCAAGAAAGTCAAAAGCATCAAAATTAAAAGAAAAAGTTAACAACCCTTTCTGTATTTCCAAATGTTCTACAATTAATTTCTGACTCCTTAGCTTAAGCGCGTTTCAAATGAGACGCTATATTAGTGCGATGGTAGCTAGCAAGGTGTTTTGGCTGTGCGATCATGGCGCGCGTTCTCAAAGGTCAGGGAATTTCTCCATTTTTCGTCAGGGAAAACCTGGAAAAGTCAGGGAAAATCATTTTCAAATTTTTGTGGCAACCCTGTTATAGATTTATCAGTCTTTATCCTAAAGCTACATTTTATTCTCCCAAGTCCCAAGGGTAGTAGGTTCCCGAAGTAGTTCTAGAGACCCGATGGCAAATTGACCCCTCATTTCAAGTTCTAATTTGAGCTACTAAAGCGCTGCACTTGCCCTCATTGAATAGCTTATTGATGAGCCCCATCGCTCTATTTTATGCTGCAAAAAGGAGGTCAATATTATCTCTTCATTTTTGGCAGTGAAAAAAGTGAAAATGTGGAAAAGTGAAAATTGATCTCAGGACTGAAATAGTATAAAAACTGTGAAATCTGAGGGTATTAATAGGTTATACCGAAGGTTTTTTGTAGGCTAAAGCTCTTCATGAAAGATGAGGTCAGAGATAAATATGACCTGATTTTGCAAGATTAATGGGAATTCTTTTGTTCATTTTTTAGGTTTGGTTTTATTGGAGAACCAAGTCCACGTTGTATCATACCATCTGAAGTCACTCTATCGGATACCAATGAAACTAGAAAATTATTCAGCTACACCTCAGAAGAAGATTTATATTATTTACTTGTAGAATTAATTCATGCTCTTTATTACAAGTAAGTCTTCGTCATCTTGTTTAACTGCCTTTGTTTATTTTGTCAGACATAAAATACTACAAACTCTGTCAGGGAGCTACACAAGTCTCAAATTTTTGAAAAACACAAACATTTCCTAGAGAAAACTAATTCACTTGCATAAAATTTTAAAAGATGATGGGACGAAAGGTCTCAAAACATTTTCCATCTTTTAAAATTTTACGCTGGTGAGTTAGTTTTCTGTAAAAAAAATTTTGTGTTTTCAATAAAAAACAGACATAAAGTGCCTGAGTCAAGCTGCTTTCATGTGTGCAATTAGTCACCCCAGAGATTTTTCATAGTCACCCCAGAGATTTTTCATATTATCAAAGTAGACAGACCCATGTAATGAAAAATGACACAATCTCTGTTCATAATACCAATGGAAATAAATTTGTATGCACTGCATCCCTGCATTGACACAATTCAAAATTCCTTTCTGATAGACCTAGGTAATAAAAAATGACACAATCTCTGTTAATACTACCAATGGAAATAAATTTGTATGCACTGATTCTCTGCATTGCCACAATTCAAAATTTCTTTCTTTGCTGTAAGCTAGTCATGATTATGAGAGAGATGCTGCGTAATCCTGCGTCAACTGCCTCGTATCAATAGGCCCTGAATAATTGACACATGTTTCTCTAGGAAACGTGAGTATTATACTAAAAAATTCAGTTTTTAGCTTGCTTTACTGAAAATTGGCATTACCTATGAAAGTTCGATTTTATTAGATCACTGTGCTTCGAAGTTTGTAAAGAAATCACATCAAATTACAAAGAAATTTAGCTGGCATTGAGCTCTTTGGTTTTCCAGCCCGGGTCCTGTGACCAGAGCTTTCATAAATGACTTCAAATAATTTTGAAATTTCTACCTATTTATGTTTTCATCAATTTTAAGTATCAATGTTTTTTATTTTCTCCTTTCATTATAAATATTCGTCTTATGTTTTGCTTCATTTTTATATTTTAGGTTTGCCCTTACTCCTAAGGGTCGAAGAGTTGTCATCGTAGAATCTCTCTTAGCTTCAACTCTCTTTAAAGATACCTTAGCCAAAGTTCTATTTGACCATTATCATGTAAGTCTTTTTATGAAATCATCTTATAGAAAGTATTCGTCTTTTTTAAGCACACACCTTTCTTTATCTAGGATTGACATTTTTCGTGGGAGAAACATTCAAACCTCTTGGTCGGGGCCGGGCTCCGTTTCAAATCTATGCAGAAGTTATTGCAAATTATCCTCTCTCTGGAAACATTGTTTTAAATTTTTGGCTGGGTGAAGAAAACAAATGTAATAAATGGATGTCAGAGTACATTTCACGGACCATGTAGGTGTAGATGAGAGCCTATCCACAAGTGAACTGCAGATCATCAATGATATAGTAAATGAGTCTCTGGCAGAGGCAAAAGAAGGGAAACCCGACATGTAGTCTACGCACTATACATTTTTTTTCGATTCATTGGTTCCCACAAATTGTCCACAGAACTTAAGACTGGGCGATAAAGAAAAAAGCACTCCTAAAATTCGTAGTGAAAATGTCAAAACAAAACTTCTGTCTACACCATAATAGAAATCTGGAAATATTTATTGAAATAAGACGGGGTTATCTCTGCAGCCTTACTCTCTACTCTGAACTCTTGCTCTGAACTCTGTATCAGCTTTACTCTAGTTCATCATAATAAGTCGTTGTATCAACAAGGATTGCTTGTTTACCTCTGTTACGATTTTCAATTACATCCTGCGAATTACCTTTCAAAAAATGTTCAAATCATCGTTTTATCAGATGTTATGTTCAAATAAATTTTCCCCTGCTAAATGTTTGTTATCACCAGATATGACTGTAATTTAAGTTTCAAATAATTTTGAATTGCCAAAAACAAACAAACAGTAAAGGTGAGTTTCCACTTAAATTTGTGATTTCAAGTTCTGTATTGGTCTGTTTCAGTTTGCTGTTGTTACGTTTGTTCCATCTCATCTAGTCAGCATATACACTCTAGCAATCTCTTCAGGATTAGTTATCGACGTTGGTCATGAAGAGGCCGTGGTCATCCCTGTTTTTGAAAATTTCCCAGTATTGAAAGGTTGGCAAGGGCAATCAAGAGCAGCAAAAGCCGTTGAAGAGTAAGTTCAGGAACTGCAGGGTCTGGCTTATTTAGTGTTGATCTAAAATCGTGAATAGTTTGTCAACAATTGTTCCATCAGACAAAAAAACAGACTGTAACAATTGGAGACCGAAAAACGAATCTCTAGAGGTCGCTGAATCGCCTCAATTTAACGATTTCTGCCAAATGACGCTAAATATATTACAACGGAATTTCATTAAACAAACTCCACTCAGGGATACAGAAATCGTCTGTGCATGCCATCATGATCATAAAGCTACTCTCATGGAAAAATGGGAAGGATGCAAAATAGGAGGACTAGTTCACCTTTAAAATATTGTGTGATTCTTCGAAAGTTGCAGTGTAACTTGTGTTTTTTTCATAGATGCATGATAAAATTCACATGTTTTTTGCATAAACATGGCAGTTTGTGAATTAAGGCAAAGAAAAGGTCATAGCTTTGAACTTTTGGGACTTAAAGGTTTTGAAAATGGGGAGGCCAGCTCGAAAAATAGGAAAGTTAGCTTGAAAAATAAGAAAGACAAAAGCTCTCTGCATTCCTGCTTCAATTAAGAATTTAATTTCAATGTTTTTGAAATCCACTTTGCGTATCGTAAGTCCGTACATTGCATTTTGGGTCAAACTAAATTAACCACCATTCATTGCAACAATATACATAACACCATTTGTCAGTTTTACACAAATTGTGCATGTTACTGCCTCTGTTCTTTGCAACAAAAAATTATAACTAATGCAGTTATTTTTTTCCTTCCTCAGGCACTTGAAATCTTTGTTAATTGAAGATGTAGAACAAAATTCAGATTCGGAAGAAGCGAAGAAAAAATCAATTGAGTTGATTAATAAACTTTCTGATTCAACATTGGAAGATATTCGAGGTATGTTGCATTTGCTGTACGAACATGTAGCTAAATCTAGCCAAGTTCTCATTACGCAAGGCTCTTTTTTTCTCAGGTTTCAGATTCTTTTGTCCTTTGTGATTATCCGCGGAGAAGGGACCTTTGTACCAAAAACTTAAAGATTTAGTTATTTGTATCATTGTTAAAAGTAGCTTACAGCTTCTTATTCGTCTGTCCGTATTTGCTAAAGAGAACAGTTAATGGTAGGAGGCAATCAGCAAAGCATAGAGTTAGAAGATGGCCCGGAAATCAGAGGTTATGAACAATACAAGCACCTAGGTGTGAGATTAACATCAGATGGCAAATTGGACCAGGCAATTGAAGATAGTAATCTACAGGAAAGGCATTAGAACGATAAATGGCATTCTTTGGGACTAGGCTGTATCCAAAGTTAACAAAAAGAGAATTTAGATCTTCATCATCAAAAGCATATTAACCCATGGCAGCAAGCTCTGTCAGTTGAAGACTGGGTTTCAGGACATTCTTAAGGTAACTGAGATGGACTTCTAGCATAGATCGGCCAGAGTGTCAAGGAAGAATTACGTTTGGAATGATAAGATACATGAAATTATGGGCGTTGAAAACAATATAGTGCTTGACATTTTCACGAAACAGCTTGTCTAGTATGGGCATGTGCAAAGGACGCCAGATGATATGTTGCCTAAGAAGGTTCTGGATTGGGTCCCCCTCTGGCAGAAAACGTAGAGGACGCCCTGCCAAATCGTGGATTGATGGAACAAGGTGGGAAACAAGGAGATGCGATTTGCTGGAGGAGCTCTGGCAAGATTGCTATAAATGGCAGTTGGGTGTCACAGAGCGCATGGAAGTGCTCTAAGAGTGGCATGCTAGTAGTAGTTCCTCAAGAAACGTTTTTCTTCTGTTTCAGTTCGATGCTGCTTTGTGACAACATATGAGCGTAGTCTGCTCTTAGCGGAAGGAAAGGAGCCGAAACCTTGCCCACCATCAGTTGATTACTACATCAACGGTGACACAAAATTAATAATTCCTGGAAGTATTCGAGAGAAAGCTTACGAAACAATATTTCAAAAAGATGGGGAACAGAATTCGTTGCCAAATATGGTGTTAGATTCCATTTTGCAGGTATGCTCTTTTGGTCATAAGACATTTCGTCAACAATTTTTTGTCTGTAGAACAAGTTTTTTCCAGTCGTTTATTTCCACGCATTTTTTCGGGATGGGAATTTTGGTCCAGGTACCAATTGAGACTCGAAGTTAATTGGTCCACATGTAGATACAAACAACAATTGCCTACAATTTTTGTTTGATGAAAATGTATAATGTCTTGGAAGAATGAGGGTTTGCTTGTTTTTTTTTTGTTCATTTGGTCCAACAGAGAAAAATATATAATTTAATTTTTTGGCAAAAATGGTGGAGCGTCAATTCCATAAGGGAAAATTCACTAAAACTCTCTACACCTCTTTGGTGCAGCAGGACTTAATTATCTTTCAAGAAAATACCATCTTGTTATACCTGAACCGGATCAACTTTTTGATTTGCCTCAGCTAAAGCTCTTAAATTGTTCCTGTGTGTGATAACTTTGTGATGGCGCCGGTGTACTGTGGCACTTCGAGCTACTTTTTTGCCATGGAGGTGTTGTGCAGTATCATACGAGATTGAGGGCACCCCCGTGTATCATGATTGATGGCATCAAAAGCACGAAGTTCCCTCACAAATTGAATTGAGTGACAAAGACAAAGAGAGAGCAGTAGTCGAAAAACTTACTAAGACCTAATATCCGTATTCAATAACATTTAGCATGATTTTTGAACTTCATTAGAGGAAAAAGTCACTTGATTCAAACAGAAATATGCTCATATTCACTGCAGAGAAGATTTCCTTTTGCATCAATAAAAGAAATAATGCTTGTTAAAAGAAGAAAAGATGCTCATACAAAAAGAAAAGTCACTTACATCAAGCAGAAACCCATTTTCATTCAGCGATTCTATTCTTGATTCAAAATAAAATCTTCTTAGCGGCATACTCAAGAATGTTTCTGTCTAAATTGAGTCACTTTTTTCTCTAATTAAATCCAAATATTATGCCAAACATTATTATATGCGGATGCTAGGACTTAGTGAGTTTGTGGAATACCTCTCTCTTTTTTTGTCATAGTATCTTGATTTATTTTGCAAGGAAAGCTCTGCATTCTGGAAGGATACCTGTCATTCTTAATATGATGGAGCTCCTTCAATTTCATATGGTACTGTGCAACACCTCTGTTGTGAAATAGTTGCTTGAAGCGCTGTGGCACGGCGCAGCATGCAGCCAGCGCAAAATGCGCCACAAACCTACATGGATACTTCATGCATCGCTCAATGCTTGAAGTATCCCTGTAGGTTTGTAGGTGCTAATGTGTGTTTTGCCCTGGCAGCACGCCAACGCGCGTTTTGCGCTGGCAGCATGCCAACGTCTGGTGATTTCTGATTATTTTTTTTAATACTGCATTGAAACAAGTGTTTATCAGTTGCACATTTTCTTCATACAAGGTTCCTAAATTAATTTTTAATCTAATTTCAGTGCTCAATAGATGCTAGGAAGAAATTAGCAGAAAACCTTATTATAATTGGTGGCACAAGTATGGCCTTAGGATTCAAACCCAGATTAGATGCTGAACTTAAAGCTTTGATTAAAGTACCAGCCTACAATGATAAACTGTTTCTTACTACATTCAAGTATCACACACCTCCAACGAAGGCCAATTGTGTCACTTGGTTAGGAGGTAAGTTTTATAAACCTGTTATTTGCACTTGCAATTTTTACCACTAATGAAGGTAAGAATGAAAGATCCACAGAACTTAGGAAATTGGACAGAACACAGAAGAATATATCAGTAATATCTAAAATTCACTCGTAAACTCTGATTGATTCAGGTGCTCACAAAAGAAGTACATGAATTCAGATAAATTATTTAAAAACTGGGTGATTTTACCGGGCGACTGTTTTGATTTTGATGGAACAATTTCAAAATTTTGCCAGGAACCTCAGTTTTTAAAACCAACTTTTTTTTTACTTTCTAAAGTGAGTCAAAGAGGCTTTCAGATGGTTAAAAATGTATTCCTTGGAGTTGATTCCCTACTCACTCATGCAGCCTCTGTCTTCGTGTAGCCTATATTAACCAAGATCACCACCTTCGGGTGGTCAGAATTATCTGGTGTATATTTTAGTGCTGATTTCAGAGCTTGATCAAAGTTTTTTCCCCTCATCATTACTAAAGTATGAATAGGAAAACTGCTGCCAAAGCAGTGCTGCTTATTGACTGTTTCATTGGTTCACCCCTAACATAAGGGATCAGAAATCCTTTTTACACGAATTTATGCACAGGGTGATCCAAGGTTAAACTGTAAGATTGCCGGGAAATAAGACTTTTTTCTTCTGGTACCAATTTTCATGAGATTGGGTGCGTCGCTGTTGCAAAAATGCCAGAAAAACAATTTGTTTCCTAGAATTTTGAGAAAAGCACTTTCGGAAAAAAATTCTAAGAAAAAAAAACCGTATTTCGACCCTCAGACCAGGCTCCTGTAGTCTGGCGTTTTGACATTAAATTACCCCATACACAAGGGAGAAAAATAAAGGAGATAATAGGGGGGTAAAGGATGAAATTTATTTCTTGGCAAAAGTATTTATCAAAGTTTCTTCAGAATTTTTCACTTCATCTATATTTTTTCCCTACCTCAGAAGAGGCAGTACTTCCAGTGTATTTTTAGAGGTTGCTTAATCGCCTCAATTTAACAATTTTGGCCAAATGAAGGTAAATTACAGAGAAATTTTACTAACCCTTGGATTACTAACTTAGACCATCAAGGTCTTGAAGATGTTATTTAAATTTCTAAGTCCTATTCTAAATTCTGTGATTTTGTCTTAGGATCAATTTTTGGTGCAACGGAGAGTTGCATTCACCATGCTGTCACTAAAGAAAATTATAACTCTCAAGCCACCTCCTACCCTGATTGGTCAAACTATTACATACGGCAGATGGGTGATTTAAGGATAAGCCCAGAGTTGTAGAAGCATGTCATACCTATCCCAAACTTGATGTGCAATGAATTTGAATACAGCACTTATCGTTCTCTACAATTATTTGTATGTATGCTCATTTACTTTGATGATGATGATTTTAATCTATGTTGGTCGGTAGTGAATCATTGCGGAAGTTATTGAAGAGCATTTTTATATCCATAAATTCTTCCAGAATTTTAGTCTGTTCACTTTCAGTCTTTCTGCGAACCTCCATGAAATTGAAAAAAGCACCTGGGCGAGATGTGATACAAGTGACAAAAATGTAATCCAACCTTGAAAGATGGGAAGATAGAAGGATTTTCAATTTTTTGTCCTAGAACGGAGGAATTCTGGATAAAATTTTTCATCGATATTCATAATCTGAGCTCTTTAATTATGTTGTTTCTTGTTGTACACTAAACATTTGCCATGAACTTTTTTATCCTTGATGGAATCTGTGTAAATGATTATTTATTTTTTCTAGATTTTTAGAATGAGATGTAATTTTTAATTTTTTAATTTTTTACTAAAATGTGTTTTAATTTATCATAGAAGATACGTATTGAAACTTTATTTCAAACTTCATCTTACCAAGATTACTACCATTTTCTCTTCTTCACTGGATCACTGGACGCTAGTTTCCCTTTCAAAGTACCTATCTTCATTTTCTACTTAGCGCCATGACCGTTCTTCCCTCTTCTGCAAAAATGTTTTTCTGAAATCTTCTCGCCTGGGGTTGCTCAAGAATGTTCACAGCTCTTTTGATTTTGCTGATGGAGTTGAACCTCCCGTCTCTAAAACCCTACTCCAAGGTAGGGAGCAACCAAAATTTGGAGCGGCAAGGTCAGTAATGNGGGGGGGGGGGGGGGGGGGGCTTTAGAAGACTCCTCAGTAGTGACTTATTAGTGATGTCTGCCTAAAAGGGACGATACATTGATATATCATTCCTTGACAGTTGAAAATGAAAAGAAAAAATGCTGAAAATCCACAATGGGTCATTTCGACTTTTTATTAATAAACTTTAATTGCTCCCTATGACCAGTTAAGGATTTTCAAAAATCCTTAATTTTTCCAGGATTTTCAAAAATCCTTAATTTTTCCAGGATTTTCAAAAATCCTTAATTTTTCCAGGTTTTTCAAAAATACTTAATTTTTCCAGGATTTTCAAAAATCCTTAATCAGTCAGTTCGACTTAGTACCTTCAAAACTCTGTAATTCGATCAATTGTGGACCCAGAGAGCTTGGCTTTGTCTTGCTTCATGGGTATTTACTGGAATATGAACTCAACTCAAACTGCACTGTGATATCTGCGACTGTTTGCCTAAAGAAAAACCGAGCGGGAAGCTCTACTAGGTACCTAGGTAATAAAGAAATGTTCAGCACATAGCAGCGTTTTATACAAAGACATAAAGACAGGGCACTCATATCTAATAGCAAGGGGGAGAAGTGAAGGCGCTCAGTGCTTGTGTGAGTGTGTTAATAAGCACAGGAATCCATGCACGGCAAATGGAATTTGGTTTGAACTTGTCCTCTTGATTTTTGCACACCTCGATTTTGCTCCTCTGTATAGGTATCCAAATTTTAAGAGGCTCTGGTCAAAATTCCTTTCTGTCTATTCCAAAGTCTACTATGCTCCTTAAATGAAGAAACACGTTTCATGAAAACATTTCCCAGAAACTATGAGAATTTCACTTGATATTCACTTTTTTTGCCTTTCTATTCTTCTATTTTTCTAAAATTATGGAAGTAAAGATAGGACTAGAACAAATTTACAACTAAGACATTGAGATTTTTTTTTTTCTTCCAATACAGCCTCTTACCTCCAAATTTTCATTACAAACAAGTGCATTAATTGGATAGTTTAGCCACATCAAATTATGATGCCTTCATAATGTACATTGATACCTATGTAGATTCTTCCAAAAGGAAATAGACTGACACTATCATGCATGGGCGGCTTGCTGAACGGAACCAATAAGATCCCTACCAGACTCTTTAGATCACAGAACATAATCAACAGAATTCGGTTCTAAAACTTCTAAATTGTATATTAATACTATACCTTTATGTATGGCATTACTGTCAACTATTTTCTTCGCAGGGGGAAGAAAAAAATTATGAAGAGATTAATGTATCCTCTCTTAAACCCAAAGCCAGCTTCAAGTGCCGATCATGTAGTGGATTCCATCTTTTCGCCATGAGTGCAACCCTTTTTTGTTGCCAGTTACTCTTTTATAGAAATTCTAGTCCATAAATAATAAGTCTCGATTTCATCTATAAGCTGTTTCAGTCAACTTCCAATCTTCGGAAAGAGCCTCTCATTTTGTCGATTTCACTGTTTTTATTTCTGCGCAGACTCTCATCAGAGCATATGTTGTCCTGCTCTTGGAACCAATTTCTATATTTTTCCATTTCTTCAAACGTTTTTTCTGGAAACAAGACAGAAAAAAATAAGCTGCAATATATTTCAATCTTAAAATCATATAATTTGCTCATCTTAAAATCCTATTTTGCTGGTAGTAACTGGTACCTTCTAATATCACTTGTATAAAAACAAATGCATGTAAATCTCAAGAGATTGAATCATCCTTTCTCCGTGCATTTACATATTTAAAAAAAAGAAGAAAAAAAAGAGAATGAAATTTTTGAGAATGAACTAATTTGTATATATATTCAGCAAAATTTAATGTGAAAAAAAAAATCCGACAAACCAGAGTAAAAATTTACCTAACTCGCACATAAATTTTAAAATGAAGTGAATAAGAGATAAAACTTTTCTGGTACAATTTGGTATAATATTGCGAATGTATTTTTCTCTACTCACCAAATCCGAAAATGACCGTTTTTTTTTTTTTTTTTTTTTTTTTTTTTTTTTCTGGGTACCAAGTTTTGGTGGTATAAGTTTTACCTACGAGAGTCCGATTTAAGGAAAATCGCATTTTCCCGGGGTAAATCCGGAGTAGGTTTGTGATGTGGTATCTCGCGGGAAAGAAGGAAAATTTCAGCTTTTCACTTATCTCAAATTACTGACATTTACGAATGTCGACATTATGCTCGCATCGTTGAATGCGGAAGTCACGCGCGCAACTATTCCAACTCCGGTGTAGGTATGTGATGTGGTATCGTGCGTAAATGCAGGAAAATCCTAGATTTTCAGCCGTTGTAAATTACTGATCAATTTGGATGTAGAATATTTGCTCGCATCGATGAATGCGGAAATCAAACTCGCAAGTATTCAAACACCGGAGTAAGTGTGTCATGTGGTATCTTGCGACAATGAAGGATAATCCTAGCTTTCCACGTGTCTCAAATTACTGATTTCGGAAATCGTGCGTGCAACTATTCGGACTTCGAACTAGGTATGTCATGGTATCACGCGGGTATGGCAGAAAATTTTAGAATTTCACTCGTCTCGAGTTATTGACGTTTATGAATGTAGGTATCATACAGCGTTAAAATGCGGAAATCCAGCGCGCGACTATTCGAACTCCAAATTATGTATGTGATGTGGTACTACGTGGAAATGAATCAAAATTTTCATCGATGAATAATTTCAATGATCACGTGCTGATCTGTGTATTAAATGCTATATCGACGGTGAAACTACCTACCAAATCACGTATCTCGTTTGCGGTGTCTGAAAATCTCCGCTCCCATTTTATTTTTTGAAGGACACCAAATCAATATTATCTCTTGAAGTTTTCGCAGGTTTTTCTTCGCACAGTGAAGGAAAATCACGGAAGCTCTCAAAAATTAACGTTGAGAAGTTTCCCATTTAAGAAATTAAGTTTAACAGGAATTCTGCAACGTCGCAAACCGAGATACGTGGTTTGGAAGTTTCACCACCAATGTAGCAGTGATCGCGATAAATAGCGATTTTATTGGTTGATTATCGCGATTATATCAGTGGCAATTTATCGCAATATTATCGAATAAAAAATTGCGATTTATGGCGATTAAATCGCTATGCATCGCAATTTTTCGTTCAATAAAATCGCCATCAATTTTCGTCGATAAAATCGAGATTAAATCGCCACATATCGCGATTTTTGTTGCGATAACATCGCGAAAAATTGCCGGGCGATAAAACCGCCATTTTATTGCAACAAGAACGAGGATAATCGCTCGGATGTTGATGATCTTAGCGGTTTTATCGCCGACAAAATCGCAACAAATCGCGATTTTTCCGTTAAAAAATGCCACTTGGGCATCGGTATACGTGGAATTAATCTGCATGGAATGCATTTAATCTGAAGGAACCATGAGCATAAGATTTGCATGCTACCTACTCAATTTCTCATGCTTTTATTCATCGCGAAAAGTTCCTTTTAGCATTAATAAGTGGAAATAGGACATACGTTCCAGTTGGGCGAGAGGGGGGCCGCTGCCGCCGAAATCGCTGCAGAGAACATCCTCGTCAACGTGCTCGGAGAAAGAAGCGGACGAAACTGAGCCAGTGTGGATCTGCATGCGCTCCATGAGTTTCGAGGGGAAGCACTTCATCATGAACTCGATGGGTTTCAGCGCGAACGAGGGCACGTTGATGCAGTGAATCGCTTTGATCCGCTCCGTGTACGCCCCGACGAAGATCTCCGCGATCTTCGCCCCGACCGTCATCAACTTCAGCAAGTGTTGGTACCTGAAACCGAATTTCAGCCAACGTAGGTATGCTCGACCCGACCTTCCCGGTCAGAACACGGCTTTTGGCTTCAGCCGCTAGAGCTGTGGCGTGAAATTGTTGAATTTCAACAACTTTGCGGTCGTAGCCGAAAACAAATAGATCGTATCCGATCATGGGTGGCGGTAGTCAACTCCGGACAAAGTCTAAACTCGGTACATCAAACAGGCGAGATTGCATCGATATCTATTGGTTAAACGTGTAAACATAGCCTCAAAAGTCAATTTAGAAATCTAAAGCCCGTATCCCACGATCAAATGAACTCGTCAAATTCTCATCAAATGCAAGATGGCGGGTTCATCAGCATTTGACGGCCCGCTAACTTTTGATAGCAGACTTGCGCGAAAGCCAGCGAAAACCAGTCGCCATCTTGAATTTGATGAGTATTTGATCGTGGGACACACGGACTCGAGGGAACGGGTCTTTTGTGATTGATTTTTTATTCTTTCGAGTACCTACAAAATGGACGTATTTATGCTAAAAGGAACTATGTTACATGCATATCCTATGCACATAGTTCCTTTTAGCATAAATACGTCCGAATGGCGATGAAAAGTGAAATTGTTAGGAATTTTCTGATTTTCAACATTTCCAACTTAAATCCTAAATTCTTTGTTTGAAGTTATGTTCTATAGTTTTGAACCAAACGATACATCGAACGACTTTCGAATACGCGATCCATATGACCGTTTGCTTTTGATGGAAACGAACAAATTCAGTGCAAGCAAATTCTTTGAGAATGATAGTCCATTTGCTTTCGGCGAGGTGGTTTTTTGTTTAGGTATTTTTACTAACAGCAGAAGGTCTCATTTGTTTTCGGCCAAGACTGCAAGGTTGTTGAAATTCAAATTTCGCGGCTCAGTTCTAGCGGTGAGATTGAGCACAGAGGAGAATTGCATGAGCCGCTGCCCGCGGCGCACCAAAACTCAAGAATAGGAAGAAGGAAGTCGGATAATGACTGAAAGATCCCGAAAGTCTCGTGACGGATGTTTTTGGAGTCGCTATTTTAGAATTTGATGTAAAATTGCCTACATTCTAACACCCTGACCTTTTAACTGTGGGCAAGTTTATGGCACGCTGCCAGCGCGAAACGCCTACAAACCTAAGGGGATACTTCAAGCATTGCGCAATGCGTGAAGTTGCCCCTTAGGTTTGTAGGCGTCAGTGCGTGTTTCGCGCTGGCAGCACGCCGCGGCGCTATCGACGGGCGGGTGGTGAACGATTTCTGGCGGAGAGAGCTCCCTGGCGGAGGAACTCGTATATCGTGTGAATCTTTTTTTTTAAATTATTTTTTTAATTTCCAACTTTTAAAATTACACACTGGTCGTGTGCGGAAACTAGTGAACTCTCAACGCTAGATGAAGTGTAATTATGAAAGGCGGGTCGGTAAGATCATTATAGCCGCACTTGATTGCCGTTGTCAAAATTCGCAGAAAATGTAACCGTTAGTCGATCAGGGACGATCAGGTTCCTGTCTGTAAAATAATAGGGGCTACAACTTAGTTTGTCGCTCAAGTGTCGGATCTTGCTTTTTCCTTGTCAAAAACAGGGAAGAAACTATTTTCTCTTTCATTTGTATTTTACGTGCACGCGAGAAGCTATCTCCAAAAAAACTTTTTCGAGTGTATAATTATTTTTAATATATTTTGTTATAATATCTATAATCAAATATGGATAATTCAATAGCCTAAACAGCCAGTGGCAGAATAGTAAGATGGGAGGTCGACTTTAATTAAGACTGCAAGCCAAGATTTGTAGACGATACGACAACTTATCGATTGCTGCGCAGAAGATGCTTCCTTGCCTATCTCGCAAATTGAAGGGCAAATAGCAATTTCTGGAATCTTCGTGTCCTTTCTCTTCACTTTTCAGTTAGAGAATATCACCGGCCTCTTGGATAAGCCGTGTAGGTAATCGAATAACTGGTCAGTAACTTACGTGCAGTTTTTGTAGTTGACGACAGCGACCAAGTTCCTGCGCCCTTGTTCACCCCGCAAGAGTACAAGATCCCCGAACATAAAAACGAGCTTCATGAAAGTGGTCCCATCCAAGTCCTTCGGGTTTCCATTAGGGTCCAATCCGAAGAAAAACACGACCGAGCCGTCTCTCATCGGCTTATGACCGAATGCCAATTTCAAGGATCGCCGGAGTCGCGAAAATTCCTCGGCGGTGGGGTTGCGGTTCCTGAGGATTTCAGGGTATTTGGTGCGGAGCGAGTAGTAGGCCTCCAACTTCCGCTTGGCTTTCTCCAGGCTGAATTTGTTGTGGTAGAGGAACTCCGCCAACCATTGCTCGTCGCTGACCCGCGGGAGATGCGGCTCCTTGGAGATCCACTCTTTCAGGTGCTCCACGTCTGCCTTGATTCGTTCGTCTGGAATCACCTCCATGTCTGTCGCTCCGCTGAATGGTCAATTCTGCCACGACCACGAGGAGGCCCTGAAAAATTTGCAAAGTCGATTTTGAGTTGTGACAGTTGCCCCATCTAGAGTACCTGTATAGCGAGAGTATGGACAGATCGCTTCATGGAGGGCTTAGGGCCCAAAAGTGCAGTCACCCTTCTAACCAATTTAACGCACAAAATTTCACTGCCAGTCTGCAGATTCCAATTCTAACCAAGATGGCTAAGGATGTACTTAATTGAGCGTTCTTCCGCAAAAATGAGTAAATTTATGCAAAAACTAAGTCAAATACGTGCTTTATAAACGATGTTTCATAACAATTGTATTAATAAATCGCTCTGTATAATTGAAATTCATAGGTTGGCTGCATTTCTGGGCCCTAACTTTATTCGCGGAGGCATCGGTGAAGGCCTGATGGATTTTCGGAGTTTAACATCTGTCTATACTCTCGCTATACAGGAACTCATCTAGCCCCATCAGATGACTGATTAATGATGGTGTGAACTAAAAAGAAAATATGAGTCCCCGTCGGATAGCAGAAGTGCTTGACCGACTGGTTTTCCCGCGCTTTTCCTTCAGCCAATTAGACACCCGACGACCATTTTTAGATGCATTATGGAAAATAACATTGAAAATTGAAACCATGTATTTTTTTTTCGAATTCGACCGATTTTTCGGGAAAGAGATGTCCGTGACTGACTTTTCGAGGATTTGGCATTTCTATTGATGTATAACATTTCTCCGAAAAACAACCAAGATCTTGATTTTTGCAATTTCAATCTTTTCCCACTCGGGTCGATGTTTTTGTGACTGCCCCGTCTGGTCAAAAACATGACCCGAATGGAAGAAGATTAAAATATCAAAAATCAAGATCTTTGCTATGGTGCGTTTTTTGTCGAAAGTAGAACGTATTAGGTATGTACATCAATCAAAACGCCAAATTCCCAGAAGCCAGTCGTAAGTATATAATAACCGGAAAATTGACTGAATTCGAAAAAAATTCGGTTTCGATTTCCCACGTCATTTTTCATGAGGATTGAAAAAGTGGTTGTTGGGTGTCTGATTGGCTGAAAAAAAAACTGAAGAAATGTGTAATTGTCTGACTGTGTAAAAACTGTGTAAAATTTCTTTCGAAAACATTGGTACCATATACGTTATTGATCCCAGAAATCATTCAGAATTTTGGGCCCCTCATCCCTCCTCGAAAAAACACTCTAAAACATTATTATATTTGTTCGTTTTCAAAGATGGCGGCACGTGCCGCGTTTTTGTTTCAAAACTCACGACCGTCTCAAATAGCTGAAATTTGAATAAAGAAAACTGCGTAAAAAAAAATTCCGAAAAAATTGGGTCCATATACGTTTTTAGATCCCAGAAATCGTCCAGAATTGAGAAAACAAAACTTCCAGGGGAAATGATTAAATTGATTTTTCGAATTTTTTAACCCTGAAATGTCCCCTATTTTAAATTTTAGCCCACTTGTAGTGCTCGCGCAATGCAATTTAGTTTACAATGAGCATAAAAAACTCACTTACCTGAACAAACGCTGCGTAGAGACGCTACGGCTTCTCGAAAAGTCACCGCATCAAAGCGAAATCGAGAGATTCACTGAGCGGCCTACATAACTGACCACACCAAATACCCAGTCGCTTGACATTGAAGAGATATCACAGCCATGAAAAAAAATCAGGAAATAGTTTCTACTTCTAGGTTCTCCCAATACACTTCGATTCTGTTATCATTTTTTACATAGTCAATTAATTATCTAGTTAGTGCGTGATGTTTGGAGAGAGGCTTTTTTGTGCATATCTGCCACGCAGCGAGAGCGGAGGTTTTTCTAGTTCCAACGGTTCATTTACAGAACAACCGAAAAATAGCATCTCAAGAGTATGGATAGGTCTTGGTGAATGATTCTAAACTTTCAGACCTAAAATAGGTACCTATGTCAAAAAAAGAGAAACGGGCCAATAATTGATTAGCACTTTAAAAATAAGGAAAATGACACAAAGCCAATTAATGAAATACAAAATGATGTTCTTAAGAAAAAGAAACAAGAGGGTGGCTCCAAAGTAAAGACGTTGAAGAGCGTTTACGGAATTCTTTCGTCCTCTGTAATATGTGCGTGAAAATTCTTAAGAGGAAATTGTTGAGCTGCATTATGTATAATGTTCATTGGAACAATCGTTCCGGTGCTGTTTTAAATTTGAAGCCTTATAATACGAGATTACGATTAGCCATGCGCGCACACATTCACACCCTCACCCTCCAAAAGACAGGCCAACTCAAGTCAACACATTTTATCTTATAATCACTTTCCAGTAATCTTACTTTGTTACGACTTGTCTTAATTTATTTAAGAATGACGGGCGATTTGTACATAGCTCATATCATATTTAATTAAAAAACTTCATTTAGCTCGTAATTCAGCTGCTGTGCTAGTGCGAATTCCATTTCGGCAAATGAACTTTATTGCTCTTCGACCGTGAGCCCCCGAAAGCACGGCCGCAAACGGGGAACGAGGCTGAACTAAGATTGGGCCATACGCTGTTTCGTCGTCTATCGCTCTCGCACTCTGATCAGATGTAATCTTCGGTTATTCAAAGGGACACCTGACGCACACACACACTTGTAAAAATACGAAGGCTTGAACACCTTTTTTCTGGGCAAAACTACTTTTCCCCGTCTGCCGAAAAGCTAATTAAATATACTTAGCTTCAATATCTTCGATATTTTGAACTAATACTTAGGTATTTGTACAGGATGATTGGACCGCGTTTAGCAGAAAGGAACTAAGCCATATCGGCTAACTGCCAACCGGGCAATTTAATTTTTTACAAGGGACCGTTTGTGCGAATTCCTTTCCAAATTTGTAGGGATTTGCTTCTTACTAAGTGGAAAAATCACCGGTACTTGCACAAAAATCCGCACTACCGTTTTCGCGTAAAAAGTTAAAGTACCCAGATAAATTTGGCAGTAGCTGATGTGGATTGGTTACTTTCTGCTTAACGCGGTTCAATTTTGAACTATAAAAGTCGGTCTATTTTCAAAATTTAATTTTTTACCTTTCATGAGTGATGCTCCCATCTAATTCGGGCTCTTCTTTTTTGACACTTCAGAATGTAATACGTGTCAAAACGTATGCACGCGCGCAGATGGTCGTTAACTCCAATTTTCACTAAGCCTAATGGATCATATAAAACATGTATGGTATGTTTATAGGCACGCCGTTTACCTACGGATTGCGTTCAGCGTGGGATTTTAGGAAAATTTGCATTGAGCGTTTATCTTTGTTTCCAGACAATTTCGGGTTCCGCTCAGTCATTTCACCCACGATTATACGCTACTTTGTAGCGTCATTCTCATTTTGGGGGTACCCGACTCCGGAGCGTTATACTCTTTTATTGTGACTGGACTGCTTTTTTCGTTTACTTAACTGAGCACATATTGCTGTAAAAACTTTGGTGGTGCGTCCTGGCCCGAGTAGTCAAATTTAGTCCCTTAGTTTGCCAAGTTTATGTGAATGAATTCTCCATTAGGCAGGATCGACACTAGCCACTTTAAACGGGAGGTGAGATTATGGATTGTAATCACTTCCATTATGTGAATTAAAATCACAATCAGTACATTAGCTAGAAATTGATTGTGAGAAGGGGGGATCTTACGGTACTTCCTGGACTGGACACCCCATTTTTGGCTACGTCACTTATGACTTTTTGCAGTCATGAGAAAATAGGCCAATGAAATTTAGCAACATGGGCTTCATTATCTGAATATTAATTGTTAACCGAAGGTATATCATTGCACGTAGGACCATCCTATTCATTTGTGCTGAGTTCTTTCGGTGCCTGTCGTTTCGTTTCAACACGATGCTCTTCAGTCCAGTTTGGCCGTTTGAGAATGTTGTTGTGGTGCTACGATTAACGGTATTTCATTTCAGCATGGTAAGTAAGCCAACAATATCGAATGAACATTTCAGTGCAACATGGCAATTTTCTTGAGCATTAGAGTCTCCTTGCGGCAAATATTGCCAAAGAATCCATGATCAGTACGGATTTACTAACGCAAATTGCTATTTTGCTTCAAAATCGGGGTTGGCGACACGCAACCGACAGGACATTTTCGGCCTTTAAAGTCTCATATTATTATATATAAATACAATCATAATTTATCAAACTTTTTGGCATGGATAAGTTCAGAGACATCATTCCTCTTGTTTTATCAACATGGTTTTCAATAGTTTTGCCCTAAGTCGTTTATAACCCACGGCGACAAGACTATCCTTTTACCGTGAAAGTAGGTACCCTAATATGGACGTATTTCTGTCAAACGGAACTATGTGCATTATGACGTGAGCCTTGCTATGCATAAATTCTTATAGGTCTCAGGGCTCATGTCTTAATGCACATAGTTCCGTATGGTAGAAATACGTCCATATAACGTTCCAAATAGCGGCGCAGGCAAATATTTTAATGGAGATCCCTCAGGACCAAGAGCTCACCCCTCCACCACTTTCCTCTTTTTTGACTAAGCTTCTGCCTGTGTGACTTTGGTACTCTAATGTCTTAAGATTCATTTTCAACTTTAAAAACTTCACATTAACCTTGGAACAGGTTTCGACTGCCCCCTTTTCATTAAGCGACTATTTCATGGACCAGGACGAGTACTTTAGTAATTGGCCTGGCAACCGGCCGAAATTGCCAGCTTTGGTTCCGGACCACGTTGATAAATGGTACGGCACCCCACCTGTAACAACAACCGATCCTTCAGACGCAGCCATGAACAGACCACTGAAAGTCAGCGGCGTCACTATATGGGATAAAAACCCTTGCGCGCTGTACAACCAAGGCTCCGATAGTCCACGCAATAGGTCAGTTAAACTGGAATTTAGGCCTCTAATAGCAAAAATCAGTTTGATTTGTCTTTTTCTTTTCTCTTTATACGTTATCACAATAGCAGCTGTAGAGCCACCAGCCGTCTTCTGTTCACTGGAAAAAAAACACATTGGATCTAGATCTAGAGTCCAGACTCTTGAAAACATTGACAAGAAAAAATACTCTTGATTCAATCGGATTTTTGCTTGAATCAAAACGAAATCCGCTTGAATTAAGAGGCTTGGTTCTTGATTTAAGCTAGATTCTGATTGAATCAAGAGTGCTTTTTCTTGTCGATGTTTTTAAGAGTCTGGACTCTAGATCCAATGTATTTTTTTCCCCAGTGTTTCTGTACCTATCCCGGTGGTCACATATTTTCGGGGTCATCTGATTGGTTAGGATTTTCAACTGGACCGAAGCTAGGACTAGATATGCCACGTTACATTGAAGTCTTCTGATTTATTGAAAGGTAACTTGAACTGTCAATCAACTGAAGCCAGGATATTATCATGTGGCTATGAATCCTTCACGAGTGGAACCAGAAACAATTTGCGAGGGGGAGGGGGGGGCAGGAGGGACCTCATTAAGGGACGTTTTGGGAACACAGAAAGGCATTCCACCAAAAGTGCTCGGAGGACTCCCCAAATCCTGATAAGGAACCGGGACTAGGGAGAGAAGGGGGAGGGTCAAAATAGGGGTTTCATGATTTCCTCAGCACTGGTTTTTGGTTGGTTCCACCAACTTGGGTTTTTTATCGATTTTCACTTTTTTACGGTTTAGTAACACTTATGGATAGAAGCATCTGCACGCAAAAGGAAATTTCGAAATTTCAATCGGAAGTGCTCGAAACAGCGACGGGGAAAGGGAAAAATCGAAGTATCTCATTGGAAATACCAATTTTTGGCAGTTTCAAGGGAAACGAGTGACCATCCGATTTTGCGGTTTTCTTTTTTGGTTCAGTATACATTGTACCAACAAGTTATATAAATATTCAAGCGTTATTCAGGTCGAAAAATATAAATTTTTCAGGGCAGACTATGAAAAATCAGTATCTGAAAGTCGGTGAGAACGAAAACGCGCACCAACTCGGACATTTTTAAACGCTTAATTCTCTTGTCATCAAACATGGTGTATCGATTTCAACTTGGTGATTTACAAAGGCTCTAAGTACTTGTCCTTTGGCACCAAAAAGGTTTTTCTTAAACTAATTTCTTCACCCACTGCGCAGTTTTAGGTGTTTCCTGAACAATTGTTTTTTCCGAGTTGGTGTGTTTTCGAACTCACTGATTCAAACATTGTGCCTATTTTGCAAATAGGAAACGCGATAATTTCAATATGATATATTGTATAATAATTTACCTGCGATAAGTATTGGAATATGTTGTGTTATTTTCGCAGTGATAGGCGGGAAGGATGTGCCAGAGCCGCAGGGCACCTGTGGGATGCAGGCTTCCAGAAGGGAAGTTCGGACATCTGCCCGGACATACAAGGTGCAGAGTGCTTCCAGTTCGTGAACCATTCGAAACCAGGGCGGTGCTACGGTAAAGTGAGATACTTCAACGGCGCAAGGGGCTACGTCTTGCTTTACACTTGCGCCCAAGATTGGGCAAGGGTCCAAGCCACCAGATTCCGCAACCCTTACGGCTACAGCCCCCAGGGACAGCGGCCATTCGGGCAGGGGGAGACTGGCGCAGCCACAAATCCCGGTTGAATGAACAAACGCTTCAACATCTATCTTTTTCATTATATTTTTATTGTGTTTCTTTTCTATGTTTCAATGGAGGTGTTGCATGTGTGAGGAATTTGCGATTTGACTGTTGATTCTTACGTAAAAGTTCGCGAGAAACTCGATGGTGTCACTGGTTTTCTCTGAAATGAACTCCCAAGCTCAAAAAAAGCTCTCAAGTTGAGGCCAAAATGGAGGGGATATCCCACGCTATCCTGAGAGTCCACCTCTACATCAAGACAAACTCTCCATGCAAAGATAGGGAACAAATACATAAGGAGGGTTGCCGTGTTTTCAGTTTTAGAGTCTCCAAATAAAGTGGCAGCCCTGTCAATGTATTTGCTCCCTATATTTGCATAGATCGAGAGTTTGTCTTGATGTGAAGGTGGACACTCAGGATAGCGTGGGATATCCCTCCATTTTGGCCCCAACTTGAGAGCTTCTTTTGAGCTTGGGAGTTAATTTCAGAAAAAACCATTGGCACCATCGTGTTTCTCGTGAACTTTCACATAGAAACCAGTAGTCAAATCGCAAATTCCTCACACATGCAACATCTCCATTTAGACGTAGGATGATATGTATGTCGCAGGCAAATAATAGTCAAATCAGGCATTTTATCAAATGCCTAGGCAGATACTTACATTTTCAGAGATAACGGGATTTTTCACGTTTTTACAAAGACCTCTCAAATTTTCAATATTTTGAGACAAAAAATCCTTTAAAATACTAACTGTCATTTTATTTCCCGTTCAAAAATGCTCCTCACAATGCTTCATTCGTCCAAATTATGAAAACTTTTTATTTTACGAAAGGCTGTATATTTTTAGATAAATTCACATTGAAGAACGAAAAAACACGTATTTATGATCGCATGAAACAAGTTTTTACAGGAAATTCTTTTCCGCATGATCATGCAGATAATTATTTCGTCTGCGGTCAGCAAAATAATCAGACTTTCAGTCTAAATAAGAATATTTAACTATTTGCCTAGGCATATCACAAAATGCCTGATTTGACTATTTGCCTGCGACATGTATTCCTCACGATTTTATTGTGTCTTTAGCACACATTACAACCATATCCACGTAAAAAACACACACACCACACACAATAAAATGGGTAGACACGGCTAAAATATGTTCTCTCCTTTTGGACTGTCATAATAGACCATTTGACAGAGTCAGAAATCAAGCATAGGAATCCATATTTTCTCACTGAAATTACATGTACAACATAGTGGTCAGAAGGGTTGTACACATAGTATCCCAAAGTTAATGCGCCTTACTTCGGGAATCGATTTCTAGGGTCAAAATAATACTTTTTTTCTAACTAATTTGTTTCTTGAAAACGATTGTTTGCGACACTAAACCTCATCAAATTTCAGGATTTTCTCCCGAAATTTGCGCTTAAAACTGTTTCAAAGCATCAAATGTCAATAAAAATTGAAAGCTGTGGGTCATTTTCAGCGTACCTTTCATTCTTTGTAGTTTCACATGTCTACGATTTCCCAAACATTATCACGTAAAAATGGTTGTAAATTTTGAACCAATTAAAATTTTTAAAACCGACTGCATCACTCGGAGTTTCACAAAATGTCAAAGGAAAAAATTTATAAGTAATTTTTACGAAAAACTGGTAGGAAAGCTTGGAATCGCGAAGTAAAATGAGATCGTCCTCTAAAAGTTCCTGGGAGATGGGCAACCAATCAGCCACACCCACGTGCACTTGGGTTGCCTACCTTCACGGGTGACTTTACTTTCCTGATCGGTAACTAAATGTCGCAGCAAAAGTCCCCGTTTTGCCCGCAAAAACCTTTTTCGCTCCTAAAAAAATGCTGCCAAAGTAAATCACGCTGCCCCATGCGATTTATATCTCTTAAAATTTCCAGGTAGGCAAAGTTAGAACATTGGCCAAATTGCCATTTTTATTAATCATACAAGATGAAAGAACGATAACTTTTAGAAGTTTTTAATTTATTTTATTTTACTTGAGTTTAATAACTGTCCACGAAAGGAAGAAATTTTTCAAAGGAAAAGTGTTACGAATCTGCCGATGATTGGAACTGCAACAATATGATGAAGTATGTTGTGGTTACGCCGCAAATCTGAAAGCAAAGCGAACGACAGAACGTGAACGAAAAATTCTACAGAAACTCGAATTTTTTTCTCTTAAACTCGTTACTTAACGCTTCGCCCTATACCTCCCCCCCTGTAACGCCGTGTAACGCTGGCAAAGACCCCCTCCCCTTGGGGCGTTACGGAATTTGGGAACGGCCCCAAAATGAAAATATCACGGATATAATAAGATATTCGAAAGTTTTTATTATAATAGGACCATTCAATATCTTTTATATAGATCAGAATCAATGACAATCATGCTGATTTGATTACTTCTAACAGCTCACCTCTGATGACCAAATGACTTCCACATTTCCACAACATAGTAAGTAGTAAGAAGATAGATGTACCTATAGGCGGTAGTGAATGTCCTTAAAGATAGTAGTTAAAAAGTAAGATATTTATAACCAAGCGGTTTTTACCTTTTTTAACAAGTTCCGATCAATGGAAAAAAGACGGCAAGCTGTAAACGCAACTGGCCGGGAATTTATTTGATAGATGAATCGTTTTGTCTAGAATCAAAAATTGTTACATTTTATAAACTTAAGTTTTACGATTTGTCACTGAAAATCTTATTATCACCGCAATCTCTACAATATTGCTCTCTCTGCAACTATAGTGTCTGCGCATTAATGAGAGTTTATTTTGACAAATAGAGCAAAGCTGAATAATTTGTCGGAAAATTGACGATGTTACTATGAAAATCAGTAATAGTTTACTTCTTTGGAGCAAACAGCAACACTGGAGTTAAGTTGAGGTGTGAAGAAAACAAGCAAAGCAACGAACACCAGGCGAATTTTATTGCAACGCCTGGATACAACTTTTCGAGCTCTACGGATATCCGTGTTGCATAAGCACGGAAGTTAAGGCGTTTTGACTCTCCAGGCGCTCACCACTTCACCCGCGGCGAGGCACACAGGTTGTATATTTTGTGCTCAATTTTAATACATGGCGATGTGCAGGGCATGATTTTTAGAGCAGCTGTTCGTGATTATAAGAGGTATCGACGTCCTCAATTTTCCGAAAATGCATTGATTTCTTAAATTTATTACAACCTTACTGGTCTTAAAGATCGCACAACACGTAAATATCTGACCAAGATATAGTTTCTTTTAACCTACTTGAACGAGTTTTCTTTTGTTTGGATGTTTTACTCCTCTTTGAAAAAAACTTTTGACGTCTAAGTGGGAAATTTTCAAAGAACTATCTTCGGAGTTGGCCTAAAGTCCCTCACATAAAATCATAGTCAGAGCGTTCACAAAAATCGTGTAGATGTCCCTTCTTAAGTTTTCCTTTATTTACGGGTTTTAGATTTTGGGGTGCGTCTCAACACTAACACTCTGTTCGCGTTATTAGGCTACGCCTTTCTCATTTGGACGCATTTCTGTCAAACGGAACTATGTGCATTGTGATGTGAGCACTGGTATGCATATATTCTTATGGGTCTGAAGGCTCATGTCTTGATGCACATAGTTCCGTTTGATAGAAATACGTCATTTGTGGAGTTTACGCTTTTAAAATTAAGTACCGACCATTTTATGATACCAATGAACTTTACATATTGAGAATTAAAATAGAGCTGCAGAGCACTCCGAAAGTAACTAAACTTCCTTCATCTATTGAATGTAGATTCACTCTCTAATATAATAATTCTTACTGTTTTGTATGCTGTTCTATTGTACTTCAATTCCTTCCTGAGTAGTAGTCTTCTTACATGGTTCAGCGTCTCATTCATCTGAAATCAAAGTCGAAAAATACCTATCCAAAGTAAACTTGACTTTTAATTAACAAAGAACATGAGAATTTATGGCTGAGAATTTGTATCATGTGCAATTTATGAATCCCAATCGTAAATAAATAGGTAGCTTTATTAAGATAATATTTCAGATGAAGCTATGTTTTCTATGCTTTGTGTTCATTTCTGTCCAAACACAGATAGGTCTCCTCAAAAATACATAATTTTATGCATTGTGCAGTGGCGTGGCGTGCTTTGCGATAAATCGATTGTTATGCCATTTAAACCTATGGTAAAGAATCGATTATTAAGGCGTTCGCTGCGAACACCCTGTGTATCGATCCTTTCCATAGGTTTAATTGGTGTAACAATCGATAAATCGCATTTCACGCCACGCCACTGGCATTGTGAAATAATTAATTTCTTCCTTACTATAATTATAATCTTTCATACAAATGAGGCCCTCTGAAACACATGAGTTTTATTACAAGATGTATCAAGATCTGAAGATAAATAACTGCTGCCATTTAATTTTTTTTCGTTTTTCATTCGTTCAAAAGAGATTATTATATGCAGGGCCGGATTTAGGGAGCGGCCCATGGAGGCAAATTTAAGGGGTGGTAAAAAAAAATCGGATTCAGAAAAAAAATCACAAACGAGAAAAGGCGATCAAATCTTTCATTTCCTGGGAGTATAGTAATCTCTAATTTTGTCATCTTTCGGTGATGCAAGAGACAACACCTTTAATTAGTCGAGTTAAGAAAGAAACCAAACACGCAATTTGGCCTGGAACGGCGCGGCGCAGAGAGATATGATGATGAGGACTTGAGATGAAAAGGAGCCCTCGGCGCGGCGGTTGGTATGTAACACATATTAGCGCCTACAAGACTGCGTGAATACCTCACGCATTGTGTCAAAAACAGTGCGCTCCAACGGTGCGTTCAGCAGCGGTCGGCGTGAAACGAATAGCGCCTACAAGACTGTGGAAATACTTCACGCATTGCGCCAAGCACTGTGCGGTCAGCGCGGCGCGGCGGCAGAAGTTAAAATTATTAAACCACATTTATATTTGTTCTTTCATAATTTTTTCGTTCATTTCTTTTAAATGGAAGGCCTTCTCTTTGCAGAGATAGGTGTACGGAACTTACAGTTCCGCTAACTTTTGCTAAAGGGGTTTTGCAAAAAATGTGTCCAACACGAGTAAACACGTCTTATACACCCCTCCCCCTCCGGCACGTTCACCTGATGGTTTTTATTGATGTTTCAAAACAAATGAGAAGGGGACGGTAAAATACAAGTGGCCCATGAACGGCAAGTAGGTAAATCCGGCCCATTATCATAACATATTTTGTCAGTGAAAAACTCACCTCCATGCAGGCTAAATCACAGCGGTAACAGACCCAAATATATTTCGCGACGACGGACAGAAAAAATATGATTGTCATTGGTTTCGGCACATTGATCGAACGCTTATGTTTGGGCGCCGAGACCAAGAATTTAAGGTTCAGGAAGCAGAAGTAGATAGTCCTCAGCACGAAATTCAGTGTTGATATGAGGAAGTCGATCGTGTAACATCGGTTTAGGTCCACCGCCAGCTTCGTGATCTGAAATGTTTGCATGGACAGTCTGCAATAATGCTGCTTGCAGAATATTCATTAACAGAAAATTTTGCATGTAAGGTATGATTGAGGCGTTTGATTTAATTAATTTTATTTACTATTTTTCTTTTTAATCTTCCCCTCATTTTTCCTCGCCTCACACGGAAAAAGAAGTTGGATTGGGGACACAAGACGGGTAGGTATATTATTGGCGTTAGGCACTTATAACTGTTTTGCATCCCACGCGTACCTAGTAGTTTAGGGCTTTGTCAGACGTTAGTGGGGGGGGGGGGGGCTAACAGGACCCTAAACTGGTACGCGTCGTGAGACGCAGAAAAGTTAAGTATATGTAGGTAATTTTAATGTTCTCCGTCTTATGTCTTCGACCCAACCCGTGTTTTCGTGTACAGAAAAACTCTGTCCAAAAGTTCGAGCGATGATTTTTCTCCATTTACTTTGGAATAATTAAAGAGGGGTAGTTAATTTTAAAGCGCTAAAATCGAGATACGATTTTTGAACTTTCAGCAGCGCTATGAACCTTCATTAGGGAAAGAGCGGTTTGAGGAACAACTTTATAAGTACGACTCCTTATCGCGGTATCTAAACATCTGTTTGACAAGGTACATTTGGACTGGGTTCAACAGAAAAGAACCAAGTCACATCAGCTATTACCAAATTTAAGCGGGAAATTTAATTTTTTACAAGAGAAAGCTTGTGCGGGTTCTTTTGAACATTTTGAGGAATTTTCTTCGTACTGTGCAGAAAATTAATTCAAATTTGCAATAAAAACCATCACAACCGTTTTCATGTAAAAAGTAAATTGCCTAATTAAATTTGGCAATAGCTGATGTGGCTTGGCTGCTTTCTGCTTAACGCGGTCCATTTTTAATGATGACCTGCACAACAACGTGAGCTGAAACTTATTCATCTCATCGTATTTTCGGCAGGGGATGGGGAGGACATTTTTTCGAAGGATCTTGTGAGAGCAAAGTCCCTCTTTGTGCCCCATCAATCTCAATTTTACTGTTTTCTACAATTTCTGGAAGGACGCGGCATCCCTTTCTCCTCCGACCACTCTTAGTTCTGCCCATAATCTTAGGTCGTTGTGATAAAATTAGAGTCCCTTTATACTGAGAGTCAAGACAATGTGAATCCATTTCTGATTGGTTCCCGTATTTTAGGCCTTCACAGTGTCACAAACGGGAATAAAGATTACATTTTCATCAATTGCAAAGATTATAATCTGGAATGGACCAGGGAATTACGGGTTTGGCAAGGAACAAACGGAATGAGAGAGGGAACGGTGAAAGGAATTTGAGAACGGGCCGATCAAAGATTACGAAAAACGTTCAATTTGTGTAATCTTTATTCCCGTTTGTGACTCCATGTGGGGGTGTTGTCTTGACTCTCAGTATAAAGGGACTCTAGATAAAATGTGAGAACCTTCCAGTGCCTGTGTGTGAGCGCTTCAATTTTGGAGCTCATGTCTTCTTGGAAAACGGCTACGGAGTCGAGGGCACAAAGACGATCGATTTGAGCGTTGAAGTTTTTGAAGAGGACCTCGACACAGGTAACGAGCGCAGCTATGAAGGTCTCGTGGATGATGGGGGTGATCATAGCAATGTAGGCATACCCGAAGCGGTGGAGAAACCCCACTCCATAGTTGTTCCGTTGCCATTGCATCCAGAAAGTACATGCATGAATACCTAGGTGATAAAGCCGCGAAAATCCGTTAGGTAATATTTGCGCACCCGCAAAAAAAAAACTTGCGAAATATCAGGAGAAGGGATCAGCTAGTTGAAAATACTTGAGAAAATTTTACTTTATACGCTGAAAATTAATTTTTTGATCAATGACGTTAAATGAACCCTGGTAAAATTTGGCGATAGGATTTGCGTTTCAAAATACCACAGGAGTTCTTATAGCCGACTAAAGAAGGCTGTTGAAAATCATATAGCTGGCTGTAGAAAGCGGAGCAAAACATATAGCCGGGCTATACGAAGCAATAAAAAAGTATACAGTCGGGCCATAGTTCCTATCGCCGGGCTTTACACTTCGTCGCCATTGGCTATGAAAGGCTGTAAGAAATTGTGTAGAAATTCGTGTGCTTTGGAATCATTGAGTTTGATACGGAACTACCTTAATATTTACAAAACACACATTATATTTTCCTTTAAAACATATTTTTTTTTCATCAATTAAAATGAGAATAATCCATACAGAGTGTGCAAACATTTCAAAATCATTAATTGAAAAACGCTGACTCCGCGAGATTAAATATTAGAGCCTAACACTAAGCGGAGCGGCGACGCACTGGCGCCTACAAACCTAACAGGGATACTTCACTCATTGCGCAATGCGTGAGGTATCCCAGTTAGGTTTGTAGGCGCCGATGCGCGTTCCGCGCTCTCTGCCCACCTGCCGCGCCGCGCCGCAGCGTGCCACGGCGCTTGAAGCAACTATTTCACACCAGAGGTATTGCACAGTATCATACGAAACTGAGGGCGCTCCAACATATTAGGAATGGCAGGCATCCTTCAAAAGTACGAAGCTTTCCTCGCAAAATAAATCAAGATACTACGGCCCAAAAAGAGAGCGGTAGTCCAAAAACTCACTAAGTCCTAGGATCCGTAATTAGTAACGTTTAGCATACACTTTATCGCCAGGCTGTTGCTTAATCGCCATCGGCTGTAAAAGGCTATAAGAAATTGTGTTGCCGGCTATAGAAGCTATTGGAAATCTTACAGCCGGCTGTAGGTCTATGGTATTTTAGAACACAGATTCTACTGCCAATTTTTACCAGGGTACATTAAACTTTTCTGCTCATTTACACCTAGAGTCGCATTTTGTAAAAAAGAGAAATAGGCATAACTTTTCAGATTTTTAATTAAGTAGGTACTTATTTTTCTATGGGTGCCTATCTCCTCTCTTCCTCCTCATCCCATTGAGCCTCGTGAAATCTTCTCTTCTTTTCTCTTTATTTGTACTTACATGATTCAACTCAACCATCTGCTTTTTTTTTATACTTTTGCCAATACTGCTCGTAATTTTGAAAGCAGGTACCTATTGATAACAGATAACATACAGCAAGGAAAAGTTGAACTCTTCGTCTCTGTCTGAATCCGCCTTGTATCAGACAGCTTGAATCTCACTAAACTTGAACTTTACCAAGACTCTACTTTTCCCTGGAGTACCTGGATACGAAGATTTTATAAATGTCGATAATTTTGGAGGTTGGGTTTGGGAAAATTATGGACTAACTTTAGAATCTCTCGTGGGTTAGTCTATTATCTACCTTCTTTGCCCATTGTATAACCACCCGCTTTCACCCATAAGATCCCTCCAAATCGCTTTTGTCCCAATTGTCATAGCTTTGTCTATCAGTTTCAACAATCAGCCCGCGGAGGGCTAATTTTTGAAATTGATAGACAAAGCGATAGACAAAGAAGACAACAATTACAATGAGGGATCCTATTGGTGGAAACGAATGGTTTCATTGGACATAGGAAGTAGGTCTGTATATACTTGACTAACTAACGGCAACCCACGAAAGACCTGCTCGTTAGTCCATTATTTTCTTCCTTAGTCTATGAGAACCACCCATTTCAACCAATAGGATCGCTCCGTACTTTTTATACACTCTTTGTTTATAGCTTTGTCTATCAATTTCAACGATCAACCCTCAGCCCGCAGGTAGGTACTCAAGTTGTTTCGTAGCCATCTAACATTATGAGATCATTGACGGATCCAGCAAATCGGGAACATTGTTTTTTCCCCCATTTAAACCTATAGAAATGTATTAATGGAGATGTTGCGTGTGTGAGGAATTTGCGATTTGACTATTGCTTCCTATGTAAAAGTTCGCGAGAAACACGATGGTGCCAATGGTTTTCACTGAAATCAACTCCCAAGCTCAAAAAAAGCTTTCAAGTTGAGGCCAAAATGGAGGGGATATCCCACCCTATCCTGAGAGTCCACCTCTACATCAAGACAAACTCTCCATGTAGGGAACAAATACATTGACAGGGCTCCCACCTTATTTGGGGACTCCAAAACTGAAATCACGGTAACCTTGTCAATGAATTTGCTCCCTATCTTTGCATGAATAGTTTGTCTTGACGTAGAGGTGGACTCTCAGGATAGCGTGGGATATCCCCTCCATTTTGGCCTCAACTTGAGAGCCTTTTTTTGAGCTTGGGAGTTGATTTCAGAGATAACCAGTGGCGCCATCGTGTTTCTCGCGAACTTTTACGTAAGAATCAACAGTCAAATTGCAAATTCCTCACACATGCAACATCTCCATTTTCGTAGGGGTCAGGTGCTCCGACAAGAATCGATTGTTCAGCATAGGTTTAAATGGAGGAAATCCGGTGTTGCCAAATAGATTGATCCGCCTGTGTGATGGAATCCTACCGAGCAACACGAAGGTGCTGACGCAGATCTGGACGGGGAAAGTGACTCTGGCGAGGGTGGCTTGGTGGTAGAGGTCGTTGAGGAGCTTGCGGAGCTTGGCCGGGCGGTAGAGGAGCCCCAGGAGGAGGCTGAGGGCGCAGTGGGTCTCGGCCACCCACGCGATGGCGTAGTGGGCGCACGCCGAGCGGCACACGCTCTCCGAGCAGACCTCGTCGAAGCACGAGTTGTACTTCTGCATCCCCGTCCTCGTCATGTCCGACACGTGATCCACCACTTTGGCGTTCAGCACCGCCCACACGCAGAACACCAGCCACGATGTTATGCTTATCTTGAAGATCGGAAGCTCTGCAACCAGAGACAAAATTTTGGGATCCAGGGTCAAGTTTAATCAGCCAAGAGGAACTGTTTCTTGAAACATATCTGTGGCAAGAGGGGAAGGGTACATGATTTCATTCCCCAATGTGACGCTACCCTTCGGAAAATACACTCATACCGCGGTTAATGCGCGGACTACAAAAAGAACCGTCCCCTACATGCCGGCAACCCCACGGAAAACCCTGCCGCAAGCGGCAGTTTTTTTTTCTTCCTCTTTTTTGGGCGAACGGGGGGGGGGGGGGGGGGTTAAGGCCCTCATGCCCCCTTCCCTTGAATCTGCCTATGTATTCTATTTACGTCTCACCGGCCGGGCCCTTAGTACCAATTCAGTGTCAACCTGAATGATACTGAACTAAATGAGAACACTGTTTCGGTTCCTTTTCAATGAGCAACTAAACTAACATTGCGGCAACGGTTAAGTATCATGCAGAACTGAAGGCGTTTCAAAACGGAATCACTCTGCAAAGTGCAGGGTATTACGCAGAAATGGAGACGGAAAAGTCGGGAGTGTTCGGTAATCGATATTGTTATTGTTATTGAAAGCTCCATTTAATTCCGAAGTTGTATTTTTGACACAACTTCAGCCAATGCAGTGATATCTCCATAAAGAACTCGGGAATTATTTTAAATTTATCATAATATTTGAATTTAGAACCCAAATTTAACAGACGACGGAATTAAATACCCATATACACTCAATCGATGAGTTCATTTGATTGAGTATTGAAACAACAGATAAATAGTATGAGTAAGTTATATAAAATTTAAGATGCACCGACTTAATGAAATTAAAATCTGTACTTATCCGGTTTCTTAGGGTCTAATTCGATAGTGTCCACAGAGATGGGATCCGTGCGTTGTGTGATATTTGGAAGAAGAAACAAAAAAAGAAACACTCGTATCAGTTTCCAACGTCGCAACTTTGATATCATTCTTCACTTCTTTAAGGGCCGAAATTATTGCATGAAATGCATGATTTGTTACGCCATCACTACTAACGTGAAACAACTGGTGAAAAGTGGCATTTTAGAATAATGGATCAAGCACATTGACCTAGGTATATTTCAAGATATTGGAGGGAGGCGCACTGGTGCTGCCATGTTTACATTTTGTAGTTGAAGTCATTGTAAGATGAACGAAAATGTATTGACACATGGAAAATTAAGAAAAACGACTTACTTTTTTGTTTCGTATCATTGCTTTTCTGCAGAGCTTTCCGATCAATACCAACGTGAAGGACACCTGTAAGCTTGCTCAGGTGGTAAACGGGGAAGTAATACCAGCAAGAAAAGTGATAGAATTGATATCCAAGCATAGTTCTTGTACCTCAGCTCAATGCTCAATCAAGTCTTGGTTGAACTCTGAAACTGTGACAGGAGGCCTCCGGTATATGAGGCGCATAATAATAGATCTTGACAGCTTGAGCAAGTTGAGAGGTAGATTTCATGTGTAAAATTTGAAGTGGAATTCAGAGTAAAATTAACAAGTTTTTTCATAAATAAACATTGCGCGAAAGAGGCACATACGTTTGCCTCTCGTATCATTACAATTCAATCGCGTGTGCTTAGTGGCCCCTTCTATTTCAGTCTCTGCAATACTTCATACGAATAAGTGTATATGTTCCACAAGAACCTATTAATATCGTGAGCAGTTGACCTTTCGGCACGTTTAAATGTATGAAACCTCAATATACACATACACCGTCAGCCTCAGTGGTGTAGTGGTCAAGGCAGTTCGCTGCCAACACTGAGGTCCCGGGTTCCATCCCCGGAGGTGACTGATATTTGAGGACACTCAAATATCAGTCATCGTGACTGTGGATGACTATGCCACTCCAATACCCTGACCCTTCGAGGTTACAGGGTGCGGGAGGGACATAGTCACCCAGTAAGTTATCCGTCTGCACTGTTCGACTGGGTTGTGAAAAATCGGTAATCACTCGTAGTGTGCGCGACTGCCAGCGCTACCTATCAGTGTAGATTGCAACAACACAGTCCAACTCGGTGGAGGCATGGCCGTGCTCCGAAAGTCCGTGCTCTGCAGCGTCTGCCACAGTCTTTGATAAGACCTTCCGTTGGCTATCAGACGGCCGCTGAGCCTTACGGGAATATAGTTGATACTCAATGTGTCAATAGTACGAAGATAAGTTAAGGAGTACGGTCCAACTTCGGGGTGCACGACGGCAGTTGCAAGTTGCCTTGGCCCCTTGAGGGCGCCTCGCCGGCCAGCCCGGCCTTACTTACTTACTTACTTACTTACTATACACATACACCTCCGTGCTAAAATTTCACGTCATTTGTTGCTATGAAATTTTTGACGGTTTACGACCCTAACAGTCATCACTTTCTCTTCCTTTCGTTTCTTTTCTTTTCTTTGCAGTAGCGATTCGTCGAAACTGCTGGAGACGACGCTCTCGGCAGACAAAAAAAAGTCCGCGAAAAACGGGAAAGCCTCCACATGGCTATGGTTTCGCCCTTACTAAGAAAAAAATGGAAATGGGATTGTCCATATTAGTATAGTAAACAAATATTGTGATAAAAATCCAAATAATGGTCGATTTATGCATCTGGGTGACAGGAAGAATCATACTAGATGTATAAAAGTAACGATATCCGGATTGTAATTACCTATCAGTTAAGTGTTTCTGACCGTCGTTTAGGTATCTCTAACCACCGGTTAGGTTTTTTTTTACCACGCTATTGAGATAAATGAGTTAAATGCGTGCGCCTGATATCTGGACTGCATTTAGCAATTTGGAACTATAAATTCTGGCTCTCCTAGAAAAAAAAACTTATAGGTATAGGGAAACTAATGGCACATACGTCATTTTTAAACCGGGATAGAATTTATAGTTCCAAATTGCAAAATGTAGTTCTTCTGTATGCATCGGTATGTGACTCTCCATGGTGCTGTCAGGTTATTACTATTCTAGTACAGTCAGCGTAGTAAGAGCTCCTGTCTGACTGAGCTGCAGAGTCGGATATTTGATCCTCTATATCATGATATTACTTACTCGTAACAACGCATTTTTTGGTTTTTTAAAAAATTGAATAACTCCCCTGAGGCGTAATATAGGAAAATTTTTATGAGTGTCTTTAGTTTTTGAGAAAATTATCGCTAAATTTTTGACATTTGGACCTCTAAAATTGGGAGCTCTACGTTTTTACGACATTTTCAACATAAACTTGTGTCCCCTAGAAACCAAGATCCAAAATTAATTATTGCCATTAAGGGTTAATTTTACCAATTACTTCAGAGATTAGAGAGTTTGGAAGAAAATGAATTTTATGTAACTATCAGAAAAATGTAATACCTTGCTAAACAAATGATTTCAGAAGTAGGAGTCGTTCCATTTTCTCTGGTCGGAGTATTCACGCTCATGGTCACAAAAGAAAGACATGCTCTCAATGATTCGAAACCACACCGATGCAATCACTTATTGACGAGAGCCCTTTCTGACAGTAGACAAATTTTGTCGGCAGTTTTAATACACTAATGCACAATGAAAATTGATCGTTGTCAAGTGTGGTTCAATCAACGAATTACCCATGTCCACTCCGATATAAAATAATATAGGCATCCTTTTTCTGCATCACAGGTGTATGCTTAGTTCTCAGAGTTTAAGTCAAGTTTTTGAGTACCTATAGAGGAGGAAAAAAAGTCTGGGAAACTTCAATTTTCCATCATTTTTATATTTTAATCTTTAATCATTGGCCCGACAGCGTATTTTTATATTGCTTTAGCCAATGCGGTTGCGATGTAAATATGTGTGACTGCTTAAGTCTTAAAGGTCGCCACTGGGTAAAATCATGGCTATGTGGGATTAGATGGGTGAAAAAAAGGAGGTGTATTAAAATAAAATAGAATAAAAGACCATAATTTAAAACCATAATTGAAAAATAATGATATCTTTAATAAATACTTTAAGTACAAAAATACACTAGATATTGCTTAGATACATTTTGATGCTTGCTAAATACATCGGCCATTACACAAAGTTTGGATCTGGAATATATTGTAAGTGGTTCCCAGATTGGGTCTCGTTCTCGGGGCCAATTGGACTACTTTGCAGAAACACACACTACTCATTGTAGGTACTGATTGACGGTGATGAACTCACGACGCAACATGCAATAACTTCAGTACAACATGTTCCTTAATACACATGAATATCATGTAAAATTATTTTTTTATTTAAATTCAGGCAAAACGAAAGTATATAGAAAGAAAGAAATGTATTTTGTTCATGGGCATGAGTACATAAGCTATACGGTGAAATTTGCACAAGAAACGAAAATATTCTTTGATTTGGGGATATGGAGAATGAGAGAGAACAACGTGTTTCTTTTTAAATCAAAATTAAAATTCTACATCAAACATGTTAAAAATTGCACCTGAAGAAAACTACTCAATGGTGTATTATTATTATGTTGACGATGAACCAAATGAGCACATATAACAGGCTGAGGTGATTTTTTTTGGGATTCTTGGCTTTAGTGAAGGAGACTTATCGGGGTCTATGACAAGCTTATTTCGGTTGAAGTATGTTTCGGGTAGGTACAGATGGCACTTAAAAAGGAGCAAAAAGAGAACTTTGCCCTTTCACTAAATTTTAGAAGAAGAAAAAAAAGCCACGGATTGAAAAAAAATCTTAACAAGTCGTAAAAAACAAGACATGCCTAACATCCTGCATGCATGAGTGCGGGTCAAAAAATATCTTTCGAATCTTTTCATACAATGCAGAATAATTTCTGTTCGAATTCTTGCACCCTTGAAATTCAGGTTCGTTTTCAACATTTTGCTAAGTTCAGATATTAAGTATTTTATACCATTTCATAGCGTGTTAACATCACTAATACCAAGCGTTGATGCTCTGAAACACTGTTCGCTCTGCTTACTTCAACTCTAACTGAAAAGTTATCGATAGCAAAAAGGGGAATATTAGCCACATTCTCAAGACTAACAGTTATTGGCTCAGAGTATTGAAAAGTGACTAGGTTCCACTCAGAGTCCATTTAGATACAGATAACATGGGAAAATACCGGTAATTCTTCCTAATTTTAATGGCCCGCTTGAATACTTAATTAGCTCATTATATTCCACTAAAAAGGTTCACTGATTTGTACTGCGGTTTTATGCTCGCAAAAAAGTTGATTTCAGAATTTTGCCAGCCCCCCTTTTTTTCTTTTTTCTAAAATAGTTATTACTATTTTTTGGGGGTTGCCAAGTTTTTAGAGCTCGCTACAGCGTCTAAAATTCAAAGGGAAGGCACATTTTAGTTTTTAATCTTATCATTGACTGAATACCTAAGGCAAAAGTTAGTGGAAATATACAGTTATGCCCTAGGTAACTACCAGTGAGAGAGCAATGGCTTCAGTTTAGAAGCGACTGCTACTGCTTCAGAAGAAATCCTAATATCATCTGGATTTCATTTGAATTCCGGACGGGGTGTTACATGATCATCACGATGGAATTTGTGAAGTCGCAAAATGATTTAGCTGTGTTTGGACACCCACCTTTAGGAAGCGTTCATAAATTATGTAACGCACTTCTTCGATATTTCGGACCCCCCTCATCTTATTATTGGAACGCTTCGTAACGCAAGCACGGTTCCGTAACGTAAAGCAAGCTCACCTCTATCCCTTCAATACGTTACGTAATTTATGAACGCTCCCTAATTATTACCATGACTGGTGGTTACATTTAAAATACTTACTGCGTAGTGTTATATGAATTTTCGATATGAATTCCAGTCTATAATTATATTCCGTAAAATTTACGTGAGGAAACAATGGCTCCTTTTAATTGATAAAATTTTGTTTTATATAAGGAATCAAACGATGATAAATGATGATGATGCTCAGGGGAATGAAACTGTAGAGATCGTTATTCACGAAACGGAATGTTCCGCCCTTTTTTATACCTAAATCTCCACAGCAGTTTCATGACTTGCGGCACATATCCATGTGATAGTTCACGCTTGATATTCAATGTGAGATCCATTTCGATCACGTGAATCAAACCCCTTTGCGTTTGTTTGGATATTCTTACCATCTTGGGTATAATTTTAATTTTTAGGCTTCTGTTTCATTTTTTTACCCATGAAGCCAAGGGTCCAAAAACTGAGTAATAGGTATTTCTCTCTGTATTTAAACGTAATCAATGTGGAATTATCAGTTCGTGGGGGTGCCCTGGACATTTTGCCCGAAGATATCCTCTACAACTTCAAGACAGGTCAAATGACCGACTTCTTTGAGTTCGCAAATTATAAGTTTTGCTGATGTTGGCGAGGGCTCACTTGGAGTGGTGGAACTTTTGAGATATGGCTGAGACATAGTTGCTGAAGCCGGTTGGCTTGCTGAGCGAGTAGGCGGCTTTCGGAGTCTCCGTGAGGAGCGCCTCTTCGATTGTCTCCATCCCGTAACTCGGGATCACTGAAGGGTTGTACTTGATATACCTCTCCGTTAGGTCTGCGTCCTCCTCGCCACACCTAAAACAAACGAGCACAGAGAATTTTAAACTTTAACGCCGAGAATGAGGGGATTGGTTTCAAGCCTAGCAAAGTCTAGGAAGCCGTAAGACTGTGCATATATACAATGTGCTTTACAATTAGCTGATTGATATTTTGCCGTGCTAAAGAGGAACGCCGTATGAACCTTCAGTATGTCATATTTCCTACAATATATAACGAATTTATTGGGAAATTTGTGAATATTTTTTTTTCAATTTTTCACACAATTTTGTTCACAATTTGATCTAAAATGTCTGAAAATTTTCGCAATTTGATCTAAAATATCTGAAAATTTCAAAGAAAAATATGCACACTCCACGAAAATGCGTGTTATCCAGGGAAATTTGGCAACTTTCAAATGTTCATACGGTGTTCTTCCTTAGCACGGCAGTATTATCCTAACATTATTCACTCTAGTGGGGGTGGAGTCCACCCGGTGGACTGGCTCGCCCCGTTTTCTACGGTTACACTGAAAAAAAAAACTCCGGCTCCAGGAGCCGTAATTACGAGCTAAATAGCACTAGCGTACGTTGCGGGTTCAGAGACCGTAAGTCTCGCATTCAGAAGCCGTAGCAACGGCCTCTAAGCCCGTAGCAAAAAAGAGCTCCAGGCTCAAAGGCCGATGCTTTGGCTCCTGAATGCGGGACTTACGGCCTCCTAACCCGCAACGCACGGTAGTGCTATATAACCCGTAATTACGGCTCCGGGAGCCGGAGTTTTTTTTTTTGAGTGTATCATTGCAACTTGGCATGATAGCTGCCCTCACAATCAGAGGAAACGGTGGGAATAGGCCTGCGTCCGAAATAACTGTCCCTGATGGAGTTCCTAACAGCGCGGCCGCGGCGCGGCGGGCGTCTATCTCCGCACGATGATGGACGGCTGGAGAGAGGCAGGTTTTCGCGTTTTCCAATTTGCAATGGATGACACCGCACGGCACGGGCACCGTGTCGCACGGGCCCCGAGCCCGCTGCTGGAAAAATGATAATAGGAAAAATGAAATAAACGGTAATTTCCAGGCTCGGATCCAGTGCGCGGGAAAATGGTCCCATTGTGGATGAGGCTGATCAACGCCCCAGTGTCAGCCACTTAGAGTCCGTCCGCGGCGTCGAGAAAATGTCGTCTCATCCGAGCGCTAAATTGTCCGCGCGGTATCGGCTATGATTTATATGAATGTCATGTAACAGGCTTCCGACGCAGCTAGAGTGTTCATTTTTCAGGAAAGTCGTACACGGAGCAAATAAAATGTTGTGACTAGGATCCTTGCTAAGTATTTTAAATCTACTGAAAATATTGCGATCAATATATATCAGATGTCTGAAAATTAACTGCTAAATTTGACCATTTGAATGCTGAAACTTTGGGGTTTAAAAAATCTGTATTTTTGGGGGAAGAAATAGATGGAACGCGACTTTAGCGCGATGAACCCGTTTCCTGACCGAAATTTAAAGTAGAGTCAGCACTCCATGAACATTTTTCGACATCCTTGATTACTTATATTGTAGATTCACCGAGTCAACAACTTCCCACCAAACGCGCCGAGTTAAAATTTAGTTGTAACGGCAGGAGTTTACTATAATCCTTATTGGAATTGGACGTATTTCTGTCAAACGGAACTAAGCACCAATTTGAGTTCCTCTTGAGGAATTTAGAATCCCGGCTAGGGCGTTCTGTCAGACGGAACTAAGCGCCATAGACGAGCATTGCGAGTATAGGAACGAATGAGCCCGACGCCCGGTTCCGCCGCCAATCCAAGCCCTCCTCTACGTTCCTCCCCATATGGCGCTTAGTTCCGTTTGACAGTAATACGTCCAATTGGTCTCCTTGCGGTGGAGCAATTTGATATTATAATATTTTTTTAGGGGGGTGGATGACTTATATTTCCGAGTGTTCTTGATGGTCAAATTTGTGTTTCAAATTTACATCCCTAGTGCACGAGCAAACCCGAAATCTAGATATCGGTGGCTAACAAACAATATCGGCTAGCAGTCAATTTTTGTAAAAGTTAGCGATTTTTCCGCACTCTGAATTATTAAATACGCAAGCTGATGATTCTCGATGTTTTCCAAATCCGCAGGAAAGCGCTTCAATGACGCTGTAATGTATGAAAAAAATGCAAATCTAACTTTAAAAGTCGCAAAAATTACGAAGTTTTCTCTTATCTTCGTTCTGCAAAATCGTCACTTTGCAGATAGGCGGTATTTTTCGTTAGCCATCCATATACCTCCGTCTGATGAGAAGTGTTTCTGCGGGATCCGACAATCTGGTGCCACCGACCAGCCAGCTCACTTTGTCGCGTGAGAGCAGGCCGCGAAAGTCGATCGATTTCACGAAAACGTCGCTTATCACATGAGAATGCCGTGTCCGTCCGCTCTACAGCAGCACTAATGTGCGTGCATAATGCCACTCGCTGCAGGCGGACTTGGCATCATAACTCATTTTTTTCCGGAGGGGGAGGTGGAGGGCAGGCTCGGGAAAACGGCCAAGAATGGAAATGAAATCGATTGAAATGCCACGAGCGTTGCCGCGGGCTGTTCCCGCTGGTTGGAACCGAATTCTCATGATCAAGTGAGAAATAGTGAAACGCGATTATTATACATGGATACAAATTTTTACGGAGCAGCCCGAGAGAATGGTAACTTGGAAAAAAAAAACAAGGGGAAAAATGGGGAAACAAGGCTAAAAATACAACACTAAAAACCCGAAGCGTTTCGGATCAAAACCGAGCCATTTTCTGTCGGAAAATAAATTTAAAATGAAGAGGTTTTTCTCGGATCCCGGCAACAACATGTGGGTCTCAGGTTTTTTCATCGATATTCTATAAATTGTATGTATTTATTTTCCGACTGAAAATGACTCAGTTTTGAATAGAGACGTCTTGGTTTTTAGTGTTGTTTAGCCTCGTTTCCCGTATTCTCCCCTTGATTTTTTCATATTATTTATAAATCCATTTTCTTCAGGAATAATGAAGGAAACTACGACTTTTAAGGTGCATATTGAGATATACTGTGATATTTTCCGCATTTTATAATCCTAGCTGATATGCCAATATGCCTATATATTGACTTAATCAAAGCTCTTCGTCAATTTTAAAACTTTATCAAAACCTCAAATTGTTGCATTCTTCTTCAATAGATCATATTTAGTCAATGAGCCGAGGTTGATATTCCGTGAAATTCTAGATGACACTGAATCGCCTTAATGGATATAACAACGGGCATGACACAAAAGTGTAATCCTTGCAGCATCTACCGTCGTAACAGAACAGCATCTAGGGACGCAATAAGGAAAACACACCCAAAACATTGATTATCATATTCCAGTGCGTCAGCCGGGGCTGAACATTCACCCCTCTCAGTCTTGGACTGAAACTTGCTGAAAAAAAAAAAAAACACATAGGATCTCGAGTCCAGACTCTTGAAAAATCGACAAGAAAAAATACTCTTGATTCAATCGGATTTTTGCTTAAATCAAGAACCAAGCCTCCTAATTTGAGCGGATTTCCTTTTGATTTAAGCAAAAATCTGATTGAATCAAGAGTATTTTTTCTCGTCAATGTTTTCAAGACACTGGACTCTAGATCCAATGTGGTTTTTTTCTAAACCAGTGCTGAGTTCTTTTTGTAACTCCAATTTTACTTTCTGGTTTTTCTGGCTTTAATTTTCCGCCGAATAATGTGGACTCGGCACTTATCTACCACCCTGTTACTTACGGAATTGGAGCCGCATTTTTGGCGGTTTTTTTATTTTTTTATTTTTGAATACTTACTTCATTAGTCGTGGCCAGGTGAAGAGCTTTTCGGAGGGGATGGCATCGGTGTGAATGGTAATGACGCGAACTCCCAAGGGCCCGATTTCTTGCCTCAGAGCTGCGCTGGCGCCCACGACCGCATGTCGCGCCGCCGTATAGGCAACCAGCCCGCATCCTTGTTCCCGCTCTCCGCTTGCACCAATGTTAATCAGTCGACCTGGCACAAACAACGAAGACACAATTATTAATATATTTCAAATAAATACCTACATATTCTGCACTAAGGAACTCCCCAAAAATTATGAGACTTTTCGAGCGGGTGGTGGGAGAGGTGCTGCCATCAAAAAAGAACGTCAACATGAAGTATTGAGCGAAGCCTCACTGGTAAAAGAAACAGAATAGAAAAAAAAGAATAGGAAGTATGGTTATTTGTTCTCCCTCTTCTCATATTTTTAGCGCTGATGCCATCCATCATCCATAACCTCAAAAATATCGAAACCAAAAATTGAAGGGGGATTTCAGGGGATCCTCTCTTGAATACAGCGCTGCGCGCCGGGACGCAACTATTTAAACTCCATAATTGTCCGTTTTGCATACCTAAAAACATGAAGGTGCGCTGACTAACCTTTTGCTCAACTTCAAAAGCTATATAGAGGATCAATGCCCTCTTAGTTATATATAGCATTGTCGAGTATTCTTTTTCACAATGAGAATTCATTTTGAAAACTTCCCAACACATCATTCATCGAACATCAGGTAAACTTCAACTTCAAAAGCTATAAAGAGGATCAATGCCCTCTTATATGTCCTGGTTACACGCTCAAATTCTCATCAATTTCCGATCAAATGGTGACTAGTGCGCACCATTTACCATCAAATTTCTGCGGCCTGCAAAAATTTGATGGTAGATGATGGAACTGTGGGGCTCATCTTTCATCCGATTTCCACACAACCGTGCTTATTCCATGCTTATTTCAATCAACACGCTGTTTTAATCAATTTTACTCATCAATCTAGATAACTCTAGACCGCCATCTTAGTCATCATTGTGATCGAAATTTGACGGAAATTTGAGCATGTTACCAGGCTATTTATTATAGTATTCTTTTTCACAATGAGAATTCATTTTGAAAAATTTCCCAACACATCATTCATCGAGCATCAGGTAAAATGCGTCTACTCATTAGATAACGAAGTTGGTTCAAAACCCACCTTGTTTGATCTGCAGAAGAGGCAGGAACGCCCTGGCGGTTCTCAGCGTGCCAACTACGTTAATTTTAAACATGGCATCCCACAATGAGCTTTCTTGTTGGTCTAAACGACCCTTCAGGCACATCCCTGCAGTATTTATCACTGCCCAGAGACCTGAAACAGCAAAACATCATTTTTGGATCAGACTAGAGAAACACCAAATATACCTTGATTTCACTAGAGGTATAATGAAAAGAAGACAATTTCATTTAAACACGGCAGTATTCACACAGAAAAATCGGATGATGGATAAAACCGTATACTTAGCAACTTTCAGTGCATAATTAAAAAAATGTGGTTGAATAATGTAAAATAAATAGGAGGCGTGCCCCCTGGCCGCTATGCGGCCGAACCCATCGAAGGCGTTTCACGCACTCTGAGGTCCACATTGTGCATCCCTTGTAGGAGTTATCTGAATAGAGAGGGCTCATTAAGGGCTATATCCTATCGATAGCAGCAAAAATCATGCAAATTGGGTCGATAGATCTTTCGGACAAACTGTGACAAAAAATAAAAATGTATTTTTTTAAATGAGAGAATCCACAACTTTATCACTAATATAATAAAGCCTACGTTACATTTCTAAAATCTGGATAGAGTGGGCTCATCAGGGGACATACCCACAAAAAACATGGTTTCCTGATTCTTCCGTGCGGGGTGATTGTTGAAGTTGGTGGACAAAGCGATAGACAAAGAAGGAAAAACGGATATGGAGGATTCCTATTAGTGGAACCGGGTGGTTGAAATGGACAAAAGGAGGTAAGTTATAGACTAACTAACGGCAACGCACGAGAGACCCTTTAGTTAGTCCATTATCCTCTCCCTCAGTCTATAGTAAACCCGTTTCAACCAATAGGATTTTCCAATAGGACCAATTTTCTTGATAAAATCCGGTAGCTCCCGGTATTGCCGCGCCCTGGAAACTAAGATTTTTAAATCACTCTATTCTGGTGGGGCTAATGACTCCCAAATGTCTCCTTGCTGTGACCCAGCTCCCCGCGGATTTTCCTCGGGTTTTCACGGCCACTGGATCAATCCCCCTCCCTATCCGACTCATCCAGTCGGGAGATCCAGACAGCGATGCCGGTTCTGTTCCGAAATTCATCATTTCCTATAGATCTAAACGGAGGAGCACGAGGAATCCTCACTGTTCCGCAACGCTGGTCAAACGAATCGGATTCGGACGTGATCCGTCAGTTCTCTACAGCGCGGAGGCCGCTGCCGGCGTCATGCATCATTGTTCTTCCGATAGCCAAATTTTATCGAAAATTATACACATTCAATTGACCTCCGAAGGGTTTAAAACCCGTTTCCTGGTGGTTGGCAACTTTGCTTTTCCCGGCGATCATCCAATGGCATCGCAATTAGGTCATAAATCCAAGTTTCCATGATCCGCTCCGCAGTGGGTAACTGTGGTTCATTAAGTAGTGTCCATCGTGTTATTTAAAATCAATAGGTATTGAAGACGCGTGAACAAAATTTCAGGCTACATGTTTGATGTGAAATCATTTACGGTTTGCACCAGAAGTTAATGCAGCACTGAAAAAAATATGGTAGATTTTACCACACTCTGACTCAGCGATACGAGTATGGTAATTAACATTAGACTCTATAATAGGGTGCGCCGTGTACATATGTGATAAGTATCACCAGATATCTGGTGAATACTACCATAATTTTGGTTATTTTCACTAAATAGTATCATTGTGTAAAAAATCAAGGAGACTTATAGTAGATATTACCATACCTTTTTTTTTAGTGAGATGGTAGAATTTCTCACTTTAATAGATTCAATTTAGGCAACTTCGTTTTTAAAACGCGTTCGCCGAATATCATAAGTAATTTTGACTTCAGTGTCTTCTCTGAAATATTTATGCTAGCTTTAGGCAATTCTTTCAATGGAAACTGATAATTATTATATGTTGCGACGTTAAAACCATCTCTATTTCTTCATTCAAAATAATATCCGTTTCAGTATGCGGCCTATCAGAATAAATACCATGATAAAACTTATCGGTGCATTCTCAATGCTGCGTCAGCGACGAGATCAAAGCTATTTACATCGTATTCGTATCTGTTTTTAAGCCTATTCCTCCTCAAGTTTTCCATTTTTGAAAAAAAAAAAGTAGTTTTCCATTCTTAAATGAGAACTGATTAATTTGTCTGCGCAAATCTGCCCTTATTTCATTTTTAACTCTTCACTGCAATTCTTTACTGGCGAAATAAACGCCGTCTCTTTACGTCTAAATGCTCCCTCTACATACGTAAATCTATTTTTCATGGGAGGAAATGTATTAGCATCAGCTTCTGCTTTCTTGTTTTCATTTAATTTTCGAAAGACTCTTTATTCAAATAATGTTGTCTTCACTCTGCTTGAACCGTTCCATCAATTTTGCCCAGCCATTCTTCAAGTTTATTATCTCTCCTTTGTTTTTACAGTTTCTTTCAAATCTGATGCTGTATCATTATTTCTATATAATCTCGTCAAACATAGTGCGGACTGCGGCTGCCGGGTAGCGCGAGGCGCATATTAGCGCCTACAAGACTGCAGAAATACTTCATGTATTGCGCCAAACACAGTGTGGTCGCCGGGCGGCACGAGGCGCACAATAGTGCCTACAAGACTGCAGGAATACTTCACGCATTGCACCAAACACAGTGCAGTCGCAACGCCGCGCCGCGCCGGTCGGCGTGAAACGCACAGGGTAATTCTACGAGAGCTGTTCAATTTGTCCTCAAAAAAACCAAAAATTCAACTAGATTATTTTGGATCGAGGGTTTTTCCCCCGTGTCAAGTATAGTATCAAGCTTAACAATTTTATACGGGGATCTTTTTTTATCAGGCATACTCCCTTTCTTATTACACACAAAATATTCTATGCGGTGCGGTACGGTGTGACGGTCGTGACAAATTTAAACTAAAACGGCGGGTTTACTCAACAGCAATGAAGCACAATCTCAAAAGTCGGTACACGTGCAACTGGTAGTAGCAAGAGGGCAAACTGGGCACAAAGATTTTTTAGAATATTCGCTAATAATAATTATAATTATCGCTAGGAATAATCTCGCTTTAAATATTAGAAGCGTGACGGTCGTCACAGACAAGATGGTTCAATGGAGTTTTGCGTTTTAAATCCTTCCAGAATACTATAAATTCCGGCAGTGACTGCTAAGTGACCTAATCGCAAAACTTAAAATTGAATAAATTATTGAATGAAATTCGGCAATCTGCAAATGCGCGTACAGGGCTTTCCTTCAGTACGGCAGGTTAGTTTTCAAAATCCAAGATCCGAGGCGAAGGAATTTGGTTATTATACCTGCGTTTGGCTTCCAAACAGCGAGGTTCGAGAACGAGCTTGTGCTTGAGTAATGTACTACGAGTCCAGGGCCAGTGTGTCAGCATCGCTGCCACACTATCATCACCCCGGGCAATGAGCACAAGTCCACACATCTGTAGAATGGTAAAAAAAAGTTTCCTCGAAAGAGAAGGGCTGTGATACGATAAATAATATCAGTGCTGTTGGAGGTAAAGTGAACATGTTTATGGCAGGTTGAAAAAACCACGGTGGCACCAGGCGCGTGGAAATATATTGTAAATTGAGAGAAAATGTTATTGTAGTATTGTAAATAAAAGTTATTGTAAATAAAATAATTCTGGAAAAATCACCCATTAAATTCTTCTCCAGGGGATTAAGTAGCAACAGAGATTCTGAAACACCACAAGCGAGAGGTGCCCTTTTCGCATCCAGTGCCTCAATTCCAGCAAGCTTAAAATAATTTCCATCAATAGTCGGGATATGTCCTGCTTTTATGAGCTTTGAATTTTGACCGAGAATCCAGGATTTGCGCCCACTTTGCGCCAGCGTTGCATCGGCGAAGTTTATGGCGAGTCACTAGGATGTGCAATGTGCATTCCGGTGGGGGCTCAAATTACAGCCGCGGGCGCGAGGGCAGCGGTCGCGAATTTTTAAAAAGTCGCAGCCAAAGCCGGTTCGTTCCATCTCGGGCTCAAAGAAAACGGTTCTCGCCGCGCGCCGACTTAATGAGCCTCGTTTCAAGACGAGCTCGCCAGAACATTGCCTTTTTGCCGGAATTCTACTAACAGCTTGGAAATTGCTTGGATTTCAAAGTGAATCTTGCTTTGAACTCCACATTAAAACATAATCACGTCTTGTTGTTGAAATCTGACCATAGGTCAAAAATGATTGCATAATAGTCTGAAAAATAGTGTTTTCAATATGTTGACCCTGGGTGTACGAAAGGGAAAACCTAGCCTCCCAGAATTGAAAATAGTATCATCTGCCTCCGCCCCCCCCCCTAGAAGTTCTGGATGATGGAAAAAAACCTTAAGCTGCAATCCGTAGCCGAAATTCGTTCCCAAAGTTTTATAGAACATCAACAGCCATATACAGCGCGCCCATCTAGGTAACGACGAAAATCAAATCAAAGCGTTAGCGACTCTTGGACGTAAAATACGGAACACTTTAGGATCTAAAATATGAGTACCCATTCGAGTTGATATTAAAATTCAACAAGCGGTTCATATTTAGGAAATCATCCTAGTTAAGATTGGGTTAGTCCTAAATTAAAGCAAGGTTATAAAATCTGGATTTTTTTCGCAGTACAAATTCAAAGGCACGTTAAATACATGTCGCCAAAATATACGGCTATTATAAATCCAGTTTTGCTCCAGAGCCTGGCCAGTGCAATTATAATTACGTGTTGACAAGGCCTAATTGACAAACTGTTTTGATTACTCCGTGGTTGGACTTCAGTTGGACGTATTTAAAAGGAACTATGTTGCACACAAAACGTATGCATATAGTTCCTTTAAGCATAGATACGTTCCATTGGTGGGAGAACTGCACCTTATTTGTAATGACAGGTATGACTCGTAAATGCCCTGAGGTAACAGGCGCAGCAAGGAATCATTCTGCCAGAAAGTAAGTTGCTCGTTTCCACCGGAGGGCGGGGGTTTTGCAATTCTAAGACGTTTAGATCCTTGCGTTAATTCCCTAGCCGAGTATTAGAACCTCACGATTTGTGTTGAGTTGCCAATTTTTACACGGCGTTGTCTCTAAAAATGCTCCATACGTGACATCACAGTGGGAAAT